TGGGCGCGGGGCTTCTATATGAAGCGGCACCAGCACAGGGCGGCGCAACAGTGGGGGGATTTCCACGTCCACTTGTACCGCATGGATACCATCTCAGAGCAGGAGGTGTCTGGGGGGAGAGGTGCATGGGGGTAGCCCTGCCACCCTTGCGTGTGGCGAGACGTGGTCGGGGAAATTACACAAGTTCCCCCGGTGCGTTTGGTTGGGGGGGAGGGTGCATGCGGTGGGGGAAAAAGGTACATGGGGGGCAGCCCTGCCAGCCTGGTGTGCGGCTAGACGGGGTCGGGCAAGACCACACAACACAAGTTCCCCAGGTGGGTGCGGGCGAGGCGGGTGGGGGAGGCAGGGCGTGGGGGCAAGCAGGGCGTGGGGGAACCTCCCTTCCCTTGGACCCCCGAAACGAAACCCTCCCCCCTTCCTAGTTTCTCTATGATGCTGGGCACGGCTCTTCCCTCGCGAGGGGTTCTCGAGGGCAGGGAAGTGAGGGAAATGTTAGTCCAACTCACCCCTTCCCCTCCCCCTCCCTTCCCCCTTTTCCCCACCCCAGTTTCCAGTTTCTCGACGAGGCACGCTACAGCTCGTCCCTCCCAGGGGGCATGCCCAGCCCGGCATGATCGTTGTGACTCAGTTGAGGAGAGAAGCAGTGCTGGCAACGGCCAAGCGTGAGTTCTGATACGGGCGACGGTGGTGGGCGGCGCTGTCCTGGAAATTACTTTTGAGAATTCTCAAAAGTGCCCTCTGCCGCTTATCCCGAGGACGTAAATCTTCCCCGCTACTCACAGAGTGGACTGCAGATTCTCGGACTCGTCACCGCAGTCCACGGCACCGCCACTCCTAAAGAGCCTGCGACGGTTCAGCAGGCTCTGGGGGGGGAACATAAGGAAAAATGGCGCGAAGCCATGGACAAGGAACTGAAGGCACTGGAGGAACGCAACACGTGGAAAGTGGTTCCTATCGGCGTGGCACGGAACAAGACAGTGCTCACCGGGAAGTGGGTCTTCCGTGTGAAGACAAAGGCTGACGGCACCATCGACAAATTTAAGGCACGCTGGGTCGTACGCGGCTTCGACCAAGAGCACGGACACGATTTCACCGAAACATTCGCTCCGGTCAGCCGACACACCTCGCTACGCATCCTTCTCGCGATCGCCGCCATGAAGAAGAAGAAGCTGCGGCAAATCGACGTCGCTAACGCATTCCTCTACGCACCCGTTGACGCAGAGATCTTCGTCGAGCTACCACACGGCTCCAGCACGGACTCGAACCACGTCTGTCAACTACTCAAGTCGCTCTACGGCATCAAGCAAGCTCCGCGACTATGGCAACAATACCTACACGCTCGCCTCATTCGCATCGGCTTCAAGCAATTGCCGCACGACCAGGGCATGTACCGGCTCACGAAGGGTACCGACTACATCCTGCTAATCGTCTATGTAGACGATCTGCTCTACATCGGCTCAACTGACGGCATTACAACCTGGTTCGAAGGGGAGCTACAGCAAGACCTCACACTCACGGACTCATCTACCGTCACACAGTACCTCGGCCTCAACATCCGGGAAGAGGAAGACGCTATCTACCTCAGCGCCGCGAAATACGCCGACACCATCGCCAAGCGTTTCGCACTCACACCGACTGTCATCTCCACACCGTACCGCTACACGACAGCAAACAACAAGGAAGGCTCCGCTCTACTCAAGCCCGCCGGCGTACGCGACTACCAGAGAAAGCTGGGCTGCCTTCTCTTCGCAGCTGTCACCTGCCGCCCAGATCTATCCTACTCTGCAAGCCAGCTCGCCACCCACCTCAAGAAGCCTGAAGCGGAACATCTGGCGGAGCTCGACCGCGCTCTTCACTACCTTGTCAGTACCCCGACGGTCGGCCTGACTTTCCATAAGAACGCAACTACAACGCCTAAGCTAATCGGTTACGTCGACGCAGATCACGCGGGCGACTCAGACAATAGGCGCTCCCGCACCGGCTACATCTACCGCCTCGAACCTATCGGACCTATCTCCTGGCAATCGAGCAAGCAGGAACTAATTGCTCTCTCGTCAGCTGAAGCAGAATATATTGCACTCTGCTCAGCCACCAAGGAAGGACTCTATCTTCGCGAGCTGCTGGAAGAAGCGAAGTTAGCCGAGTTACCCAACTTTACCCTGTTCTGCGACAACCAATCGGCAATTCGCATCGCCAACAAGAACGGCTTCGCGAACAGGACGAAACACATCGCCCTGCGATATTTCTTCGTGAAGGACGAGATCGAGAAGGGAAGGCTCGAGCTGTCATACTGCCCCACGTCCGAGATGGCAGCTGACTACCTGACCAAGAAGCTCGGAAAGCAGAAGTTCGAATACTGCATGCTGCTGACTGGACAGAGCCACGTCAGCGACACTCCAGAAGCGAAGGGGAGTGTTGGAAACAATCGGTCCTAAGCGCTTCTGTCGTGTCGAAACACTAAGGCACAAGCGAAGCAAAGCATATCGAGGCACCAGCGAGTCAACCCTCGGAGGTTGAAGTAACCGCTGGAGGTTACGCGAAAGTCAAAGGTCAGCGACCTTTGACCTGACAAGTACAGCGCGACAGCAAGGACACACAACTGACTCGCTACAGAGCAGTTGCCCGAGTCGTCACTGTATCGAACCGCAACAGCAACAAGTAAAACAGTTATAACCGTATCCTTTCATATTCCTTGTACTCTTATATAATCTTGTATCTCTTTGTTTTAATCAACTTACTTTGCCCTCACATACTAGCGCAAGGTGGTTCACAACTCTTTAATTAACGCTTCCGCTACTACACCAACTCTACCCAGAGTTCACCCCTGCAAAGATCCTAAGGGCCTTTTCAGCCCAACAGGTGCCACCAATCCTCCTCACTCCCACTGCACCACGCTTGCATGCTCCATGCAGCTCTTCCCTACCTCCGCGCTCCCACACTCTCCATCCTACCTCCGTTGCTCCCACCTCCACCACCCCCATCGCCCCAGGTGCTGCTGCTGCTGCTGCTCCACTTGCTCCCCTGCCTGCGTTGCTGGCGCCCCAAACCCGTCCGCCCCGTGCGCTGCATTGCCTGCTCACCTGCCCCAACCTGCTCTCGCACTCTCCTTCCGCGCAAAAACACAGACGAGGCGCAGGCGAAGGATGGACGGACGAGGCACTTTCATGCGCGTCTCGTCTGTGCCAGTGGAGGAGCGCGCGTCTTTGGAGGCGCCTCAAAAGGCGGCGACGGTGGTGGCATGCTCGTGGCGCTGCCCTGCTCCGTGTCGGACGAGGCGCAAGTTTCAGCCCCAACAACTATACAGCCCCAACAACTACATAACTCAAGCAACGTTATTGACGTACCGTACGTTGCACAGAAAAGCTGTGATTCAATACAAGCACCTCGTTCACCTGTGTCTCTGGCAACCTGCCGAGCCAACCATGCATATGCATGGTTGGTCTGATTCATCTCACAACTTTTGGCATGGATTTCATTACAGTGACCTTGTAGTGTAGTCGTCGTGTCATAGTGTCCCTTGAAGCTTGGATTCATCGAGCCCAACGTTGGATTGGATGCTTCAACAGCACGTGTTGTTTGTGAAACGTTGATACATGCAGGTCATGTAATGGGGGACAGTGGAGTGGCCTAGTTATTCAGCTTTAGATGGTTGGCTGGATGAATGATAAGCAACAACATACGCACTGCAAATTCACCTTCCTATCTCCTACCTACATCCAATCTTTATCATATGGCTGAGGAGACACGTCATGTTGCATTGACTCATATCATTATCACTTGAAAACTCATCTGGTTAAAAAGAAAGGCTTCCGGCAATCTGTGGCATGAACATGCATTCAGCTGAACACTACGCCTTTTCCCCATCAAGCTAGACCAGGCAGTGGAAGTGCTGCCCTTGTCACCACGACCCTGACGTGTGCATGTGTGAAGCGGTTGAAAGGGGTTGTGCAGGCAGAGTGGACGACCCAACTGCTGCTGCTGCTGCCGTTGCTGGTGCTGCTAGTGCTGCTGTTGACTCTGCTGCTGCTGCTGTTGGGTCTGCTGCTGCTGGCTCTGCTGCTGCTGGCTCTGCTGCTGCTGGCTCTGCTGCTGCTGGCTCTGCTGCTGCTGGCTCTGCTGCTGCTGGCTCTGCTGCTGCTGGCTCTGCTGCTGGCTCTGCTGCTGCTGGCTCTGCTGCTGCTGGCTCTGCTGCTGCTGGCTCTGCTGCTGCTGGCTCTGCTGCTGCTGGCTCTGCTGCTGCTGGCTCTGCTGCTGCTGCAACACCATATCGGAGTTGCGGGAGGTCGGACGCCATGGTGGAAAGGCCACAGTGGAAGCGGCAGAGCTCGTTGCTGACTTCATCAGCCCTCGTGCCTTTCCGAACATTCTCCCCGTTCCCACCACCGGACCCACTGCAGCTCCCTCTGCTGCCACTGCTGCAACGGCTGCTACAGCGGTGGCCCCTGCGTCACTCAACGCCACTGCTGCTTCTGGAGCAACCCCTGTGCCAGCAGCACCTACTGCAATCACCTCTGCTGCCATACCCCCTGCTACTACTCCTGCCACTACTGCTTCGGGTGCCTCCTCTACTGCTGCTCCTCCTGCCGCTACTGCTGCTGTTGGCTCTGCAGCTGCTGCAGTTGGCTCTGCTGCTGCTGCAGTTGGCTGTGCTGCTGCTGCAGTTGGCTGTGCTTCTGCTGCTGTTGGCTCTGCTGCTAACTGCAGGGCATGGGGAGTGAGGTGAAAAGGGCAGGGTTGAGGGGGATAGAGGTGAGAAATGAAGGGTACGGAGAGAAATAATCGATGCTTTTCACGCTGCTGCAGACAGGGAAGTAGCGTGGTGCAGCGCATGGGAGGTGAGGGGAGAGGGACAAGGTTGAGGCGGGTAACGGTGTGAAACAGAAGGTACGGATAGAATCGAATCAACTGAGGAATTCGTTGGAGATTGGGCCGGAGGGGGGGAGGAGAGGGTGGGGGGGAAGGAACGAAACCGAAGGAAGGGATAAACGGGAATCACTCACTTCAGTGTGCGCCATTGAGTTGAATAGAGTAAAGAAGTGATCCACCAATGCCCTGCGCTGCTGTTCAGCTTGTGTTACCTGCAAGCAGACAGAAAGGCAAGTGAAGAGAATGGACGGGGTGAGGCATAGAGTGTGACATACCCACACACACACACATGCACGTGTCTTTCAGGTGCGCGTGGGTACCATGTAGACGTGCATGCACATGTGCACGGCAGGCTAGGCATAGGCAGCAGCAGCGGCTTTTATGCACCCAACTCATGACTGCTGGCTCACCGCGTGTGCGTGGGACTGCAGCAGCAGCAGCTGGGTGCGAAGCTGCTCCTTGTCCTCCTTCAGCCGTGCAACTTCTGCCTCCAGCTCCTGGTGATGAAAGGGGGGAGCGGGGCAGCATGAAACACATGCGATCCGCCTCCAGGGTTTCTGGTATACGCAGCATGAGACACATGAAACGTGGACGGAGTTCAAAGCATGGGGCCTGAAGGTACTTCTCACCGATACGTTGACTTCTGCACGTTGCCTCAGTTTCCTCTCTTCTTCAAGCCTGGCCTCTGCAAGATACGTAACACAGTATTATTACTGGCCGATGGAGAAAACTTATACACTAAAACTTTCAAGCGGGTGCTTACCTGCCATCCTTTTCAAAGAGTACGACTTGGCAGCAGCGTTGACGCATGCCTTCAAATCACGAAAATATTCCCTCTGATATTCACATCTCTTTGCATTCTGCACGACATGAATAAAGGCACACTTCTTTACACCAGGTGACATGTAAACGATCTCATAAAGTGCTTTGCATAGTTTGCAAGGGTAAGCAAAATTGATGTCACTTACATCAGAAGCATTGTTTCCCAAATTCGGATAAGCCCGATTCAGGATTTCCATATCGTTGTCGTAGTACTCCTTGAACGGGTCCTCTGAAGCCGTTGAAGAGGCCGACGCGACTGGGGGTACCTCAAAATACAGTATTTGCACTAAGTTGATTATCATTCGAAACCTAAACATATAACTTGCAAAGCTGAGTAAATCAATTGGATAGCGTCAGCATCGTGTTAACTATCATCATTATAAAAGATCCAGTTTTCTCACACTTTCGGCCATATCCTCCTCGTCAACGCAGTTGCTCGCGCCACCTTAGAGAACCTAATACTATCTGTAAAATCCTGGAAGCCGTGTCCTGTTGGTATGTTGATTCCGTAAAACTCCCTACTTGCGAGACACCATGCCGAAAGTTTGGCAAGAATCCTTAGAAAGCAGGGGTTAACCAGTCTGACAGGTGCTGGTGTTAATATCAAGGTGATGGCGAATATGGCCATGGATTCTTCCTGAGCTAGGTGGCACAGTGGAGGGGAGAAGCAGGTGGGTCGATGTAAGAGGAAGTATGATGTGGCGTGCTATCCTGAAGGAAAGGGGATCGTGTCATCAGTGGGTGAAAGGGACGATAAGCTCTGAGTGGGAAGAGCGCGTGTGCGGGTGAGTGCGAGAGAGTTCTCCCTGACGATGGAACCCCAGAAGTTTGCCCGCCACAGATCGGCACGGCAGCCAAGCATATTCGCGAGTCAGTTGTGACAACCGTTGGATCTGGGCGAACATTCGCGACATTTGTCGATCACCTTGTTGCAAATTCCGGAGGTCTGTGAAGTCGGAAACATCTTCTGCAAATATTCATATTGGTGTAATAATACGGGCTACATCTTTGTGTAATAATACGGGCTAGTCAAGAATTAGAAATATCATGTATTGTAATCTGTATCTTCCACAGATAAAAAAACGGCTGCATCACCACCCATGCTTTCAATACATTATACACGTGCAGCATTTATCAATGCAAAGGCTGGCCGGCCACACAAAATGCAACTGGCGTCTGCAGGACACTGTGAGCCCCACACTGCAGCCCCTTCGGCTGCTGTCCATCATAGTGCCCGTTCGTTCTACGCTGAGGTAATCCAATTAATAGCACAATCACTTAGGCTCTGAAGGAAACCCTAAACCAAACTGCAGGGTTAGCATATGTTACAGGTGTTAGTTAGCTTGCCATGGGTGCTCCTCCAAATACCGAGGCAAAGATGGCCAGGCGGATACGTTCCACTTGCCAAGCTGCCTGCACAGTGTCTGCCGCCTCTCACCCTCACTGTGCTTCATCTCTTGCTGCTTCCTTCCACTGGTCGCGTGGTGGCAGTGGCTGCGAGTAGTAGTGCCGAGTGCGCGGCTGCATGACTGCTGCACTCCCACCCGCACCTCTGCCCTCGCCTGTCCCCGCCCCCACCGCACTGCCTCCCTTGCTTCTGCTCGTGGACCGCCTCACTCGCCCGCGCCCTGCCTGCCCCTGCCCTCCGTCGCTCGGTCCCTCGGGTGCTCTGCTGCTGCGGCGCGAGCGCGAGGAGGTGGAGGCGGGGCGGGAGGAGTGGCTGCCGACGGACGACAGGCTCTCCGCCTCCGAGTCCGAGTCCGCCACGCTCGAGCCCCCCGTGAAGCACCCCACCAGCCCGCCGCTCTGCATCGCCTTGCGCAGCGTCGGCGTGTCCAGCCCTGCAAACGCCGGGTCGTCGTACGGATTCTCCCCTGCCAGCGCCCCCCCCTCCTCCACGCTGCTGCCCGCCACGCTCTCCTGCACCCCCCCAACCACCGTGGGCGGTGGTGGCATGGGCGGCGCCCCCTCGGGCAGGCGGGACGACTTGGACTTGCCGAAGCCCACGACGCCGGCCCAGCGCGAGGAGCGGCGTGAGAGCGAGGAGGACCAGCGGCCGTCGCTGTCGTTAGACCCCACCGACAGCGCGTCGGCGCTCACCTGCCGCGGCACGGACGAGGGTGAGGGCGATGATGACACGGACGCCGGCACCGACAGGTTCGAGGGGCGCATTGGCGATGAGCCGTGGTCCTTGAAGCTGCCGCTGCTGCTGAAGAAACCACCCTCTGCCCCGCCGCCACTGCTGCTGCTGCTCCCTCTTGCTCCCTTCTTGCTCCGACTTTTGCGCCCCTCGCTGTGCCCACCCCAACCCGGCCCCCCCTCCCCTCCACCTCCCCCTCCCACGTCTCCATCTCCTCCTGTCCCTTGTCTGGGCGAGCGTTGGGGTGTCCGGGAGTGGTGTTGGGGGGTGGTGGGGGGGAGATCCGCGGAGGGGGAGCGCAAGGGGGAGGAGAACATGGGCGGAGTGGAGGGGCGGTCGGAGCTGTTATTGCTGCCGCTGCTGCCTTTGCGGCTCGACGTGCGGCTCGCTTTCCTACCAGCCGGCGGAGCTGCTGCGCCCTGCCCACCCCTGCCCCCTGCCCCTCCATCCCCTGCGCCGGGGGCCTCAGCAGCATAGCCGTCGCGGTCAGAGGCGAGGCTGGAGGGCGTGGAGGGGCCGTCCGTGGACAGCGACGGGTCGCGCGACAGGCGGGAGGAGCGGCCGCGCGTGGGCTTGGCGCTGGAGGCGCTGCCGGCCTCGGAGAGGGAGAGGGAGGGCGAGGAGGCGCCAAAGGTGGTGTTGTCGTCGGTGGACGCGTCCGACACCCAGCTGCCGCTGCGCCGATCCATCGACGCCCCCCGCCCCTCCTCCTGCCCCACCCGCACCCGCGCAAACGCCCCTCCTCCCATGCTCCCTGCCGCCGCTGCTGCTCGTCCGTCCCCCCTGCCGTCCATCCCCCCGCCCTGCACCTGCCACTGCCCTCCCTGCTCGCCGTACCCGTCCCCGCTAAACTGCCCATCGCTCCCACCACCGTACCCGCCTCCCCCGTATCCCCCGCCCTCCGCGAACCCCCCAGCGTGCGCGCCCTGCTGCGCGCCCCCCTGCGCAGCGTCCCTGCGCGGCGCGCGGCGCTCGTCCGCGACCTTGAAGACCTGCCCGCCGAACCAGTCCTCCTCGCGCGCCTCCATGCCCCACTGCCGGCGGAAGCCGCGCTCGTCCTCCTCCTGGCTGCGCGCGAGCGCGAGCGAGTAGTCGGCGGTGGCGGGCGCGTGCAGGGAGATGCTGCCGATGGGCGCCTCGACGCCGCAGATGCGGCACAGCCCCAGCAGCACGTCCACCAGCGTCGCGTTCACCGCCGCCACGTTCGCGTAGTAAAACGTCTGCCAAACCACGGCCGGGGGAAGGGGGGGGGGGGGAGGAAGGCATGGGGTTGAGTTGAGATGCGCGGAAGGAGATAGTGAGTGTGTGCATGCGTAAACAAGCGCACGCATGCAGAACGGCGCGAGCAGTGGCCAGTGCGCGGCACTGACCTGCACTTGGAAGACCATTTCGCCAAAGTCAAGAGCCGCGCCCGGCGTGTGCAGCGAGTGCCAGTGAATGGTGTTGTGCGCCATGGTGGGCAGCAGCAGCAGCCCGCGCTTCAGGTTCGCCTCCACGCGGCCATCCGCGGTGAAGTTGAGCGGGTCCTGCAGCTGCACGCGCAGCAGGTACTGGATGGAGCGCGGCAGCATGTCGTAGAGCTCGTCGCGCGTGGGGCCCAGCACGGCGTCGGGCTGCTGGATGATGCGCTCCAGCAGCACCACCACGTTCGCGTAGTGCAGCGCCAACCCCGCCGACCCCAGCGACGCGTCGCGGATGCGCGCGGGGCACATGCCGTGGCCGAACGACGCGAAGATCTTCTTGCGCACGTAGCACGCCGCCACCACCAGCAGCTGCGCGCGCGCGCGGGCGGGGGGGGACGGGGGGAAGGGGTGGGCACGTTCAGAGGCAGGTGACAAGGCAGGAGCGCGAGACGATGGAGGTGGGAATATACGTGCACGAGGTGGAGGGCGCACGTGCACGAGGGGGAGGGCTTACCTGCACGAGGGGGAGGGCTTACCTGCACGAGGGGGAGGGCTTACCTGCACGAGGGGGAGGGCTTACCTGCACGAGGGGGAGGGCTTACCTGCACGAGGTAGTCGAGGTTGTAGGCCCAGAGGCAGTGGCCCTGCAGCTTCTCCACCAGCTTGCCCTGCGTCACCATCTCCTGCAGCGAGTTCCACTCCCCGTACTCCTGTATGCTGCGCGGTCCATGCGCCAAAGGCAGGGGGGAGATGGGGAGAGGGGAGAGGGCAGGGCCGGGGACGAGGGCGCAGAAGATGAGTGGAAAGGCTTTTGGTACTGGAGGGAGTGCAGCGCGCTACTGGGAGTGCAGCAGCGGGCTTACCGGGAGTGCAGCAGCGGGCTTACCGGGAGTGCAGCAGCGGGCTTACCGGGAGTGCAGCAGCGGGCTTACCGGGAGTGCAGCAGCGGGCTTACCGGGAGTGCAGCAGCGGGCTTACCGGGAGTGCAGCAGCTGAATGGCTTCCATCTCCGCCTTGAGCGTGTTGGTCGCCTCCGCCTGCTCCCGCATGAACCTGCCACCGCGCACACCACCGCACCCGCACGCACACACCATCGCACGCACCATCGCACGCACGCATCATGACACGCACGCATCATCGCACGCACAGAGATACCCTTGCACTTATGAGGACACGCACGCACGGATGGCCGCACGCATTGACCGTCACCACACCCTATCCTCTCTAACACGCCCATCCCATCCGCCCATCCCATCCGCCCATTCCCTCTCCTCCCATCCCTCCGGCCACCCCTGCACCGCCCTTCCCCGGTCCGCCCGTGCCAGCAATGCGGAGGGCGCGCGCGCACCTGAGGAGCACCTCGCCCTCGGCGGAGGAGACGGCGAAGTCCTTGTAGTTGGCGTCCGGCGAGTCCAGGTGCGCCAACACGCGCTCCAGCCGCCGCAGCCGCACGTCCGCGCCCTTGCGCCCCAGCACCGCCACGCGCGCCGCCACCACGCGCAGCTCCTCGTGCTTCTCGTACCCTGGGCGCGCGGGACGAGGGGGGGAGACGCGGGCAAGAACGGGAGGACAGAAAAATCGTCGAAGTGCGGCAGAGAGCCAGGCGGGGAAGGGGGAACGTGGCTAGGCGCGGGATGGGGTCGCCTGATGAAGGTCAATGCGCGAAAGGTAAAGCGGCCAGATACGCTGCTAGCGAGAGCAGCGCGGAATGGACAAGTGGGTAGGCTGGCCCTAGTGTCTGCGACGACCTACTGCATGCAACGCCCTGTTACCTGCGTGCGAATGCGACGGCCTGCGACTGGCTCTTACCTGCGAGGCCCCAGAGCACCCGAAGGTCATTGGAAATGAGCGTGACCACTCCCGGAGCCTGCACGCACCACACACGGGGAAAAGGGCACGGGGAGGAAGGGACGGAGCAGCGCACGCGTTGGTTGTGCTATACAGACAACGAGTAGGGAGCGAGGAGGTACAGTCAGCGGCACTTGTGGGGCGATGTGGGAAGAGAGCACGGCGAGAAAGAGGAGGCGGAAAATTGGCAGAGGGGAGCAGCAATGGGTCACCTGGAGGTTGGAGCGCAGCGACGAGAGCATCTTCTCCGCCATGGAGTCGTATATTTCGAGCATGCGCCGCATGATGCTGCCGATTTCGAACGCCAGCATCTCCGTCGGGACCTCCTTCAACCTTCCCGCCGGCGCGCCTGATCCCTCGCCGTAAAACGCACGCTTCACGATTTTCTTAAGCGTGGCCTCACCAATCGCCGCAATCGACGGTGAGCCCAAGCGCAGCGGCGAATCTGGGCGCAGGTCCTGCGCCGCCGCCACGGCCACGTGTTGTGGGATTGGCGTTCCGGCGTAGGGAACGGCATTCTGAGATTTCTCGGAGCTGTGGCTGCGATTGATGCTGTCCGAAGCCTCTCCTCTCGTTTTCTTCTTGCCACCATGGTTGTGAAACACCTTATTGATGGTCTTATACATCGCCCCTGATGAACAGATAAGCGAATAATGCGAACTGCCTACTTGATTCGCTCTACAATCTTACTGCTTCCAACGGCTGGGACGCTACGGACACCGCCCCGACGAGAATACTAAGGCAAACGAAGCTGAATCGTGAGGACATGGCTGTTACGATCCTATCTCAAAACGTGTGCAACCCTAATCTGTAATGTCAAGGCTTGGTAAAATGGAGCTCAGTAAAAAAACGGAGGTGACGTCAATCAACTGACCCCTGTTACGGTCCTGCTTCCATTGCTGCCGCTGCCTGCATCTCTCTACTCTACTGACTCTGCTGCAGCAGACCCACTTAGGAATTGGGGAGGAAGCGGAGAAAGCGGTTATTGAATTGGAAGTTGTGCAGTTCGTCGTTTCCCTCCAACGAAGCCAGCAGTGGTCGTGTGGCAGGGCATGGCGCAAAAAACCCGCCAGAGTTCTTCGGACGGGGCGGAACGAACCAAACTGTGAAGGGAACGGGGAGGACCACAATTGTTTGCGGTTGCTGCCCTTGCGCTGCTGGACTACTGAGGAGGGGCAGCGAAGCGAGGCGAGATGAGGGGAGGGGCCAGCCAGCCACCACAGCAGCGCCTGACCTGACAGGCAATTGCCCCTCGCTCCTTCCAGCCCCTTGCCCTCCAAAAGAATGACGTGTTTGGGAAAACCCCGCGAGAGTTGGTAGCTTGTGTGAGCGCAATGCGCAAGCCATGATCGGATCAGGCGGATTCGCATACGCTGCGCCTGTGGGGGGAAGAAAGAACTGAGCCAGGGAACAGCGACGGCGAACACCTCGAATGTAGGCGCCCACAACGACAGCTGGCAAATCTATCACCGTCGGGTAAGACATCACCAAGGTTCTTGGTTTCACCAGATTGCGGAACAATTACCAATATTTGATTCACAAGACTAGCCGCGTTTTGGCGGATGTTCCGTTTCAATACACCAAACTGGTCCCAGAACCGCTGCATCCACAATTCGGCTGTTTGAAGGGGAACAACCACAGCTGGTGTGTCTGGTCCCCTTCTGGCTGTGTGACGCTTGACGACAAGAACACGTCACACGGAACCATCCAACGCAATGCAGACCACCCGTCGTACAGAAGAGATAATGTGTCCCGCAAGTGTGGAAATTGTTGAGAGGATTATAGAGGAAACATACGGTATCTATAATCAATATACTACTCTAGAAATAGTTCTCCCATAAACCCAGTAGTACCTACAGCCCACATACGGACGTGCCTTATTCTAATTCATCCCAATAATTGGATGAATAATAAAAAATACCAAGCCTAGTATCTGGGTTTACAAGTTAATTAACAAAGATGCAGAACATATACGTATGAGATTATGGTTAAATATATTGGCTCGGGAAATTTTGTGTTTCTATTTATCTCCTAAATCCTTAATTCAATTTGTTTTCTTACATCTTTGTTTGGGCATTTGCAAGGGCTCCAAATAACAGAGTTGTAATGTTTCTATATAATCAGAAGTTTAATACGGGTTTTCCCTGATTGGTGCCCGAGGCCTCGGAGGACTTCGCGATGAATGTGGAACTTTCGAGGTTCGCCCCTGTCGCTCCTTGCACACTCGCCTCACCTGCCTCCCCCCGTCGATCCTCCGTTTATAGCTCCAGCTCGTCCCTGCTAGCAGCACCACGCTTCCTCCCTCCAAATCCTTTTTTTCTTTGGCTTACGTTTCCGTTACCTTGACGCAATCCTATTGCTGTGTTGATCCGTTGTTGAAATATTACGTTGCGCTGACTTCGTGAGCTTTTCAAATCTTATCGACCAGCTGACATCCCTTGCACACCGAGAAATGGAGGAGGTGGGTCGTCGGGTTGTGGGCTCTATCGACTTGTTTTTTAGGAGAGACACCAATCTTGCAAATTTAACCACGTCGTCCGTTCTCCATGTCGCAGGCCAGCAGTCATTCCGTCGTGCTGCACGTCTACGATCTCTCGCACGGCTTGGCGCGTCAGCTGTCGCAGACCCTTCTGGGGACGGCGATCGACGCGGTGTACCACACGGGCGTGGTGGCGTACGGCACCGAGTACTGGTTCGGCGCGGGCATCCAGCGCGGCGTGCCCGGCCGCACTGACTTCGGACCGCCCATGGAGGCAATCCGACTAGGGTGCACGGAGATTCCGCGCGACCTCTTCGAGCAGTTTCTGGCTGACGTCAGCGCCAACTACAGCCCGCATCGCTACAGCCTGCTGTCGCACAACTGCAACCACTTCAGCGACGAGGTCGCGCACTTCCTGCTGGGCCGCGGCATCCCCACGCGCATCCTCGACCTCCCCCGCCACGTCCTCAGCAGCCCGCAGGGCGCCCTGCTTGGTACGTCGCTGCTGCCTCGCGCTCGGCCGCGCCCCCTCCTGATTCGTCCTGTCTACGTCCCACGATGATGTCATGGCTGTGTGCGTCCACCGCTGTACTCACACCCTGCCTGCTGGCACCCCCCCATCCCCATCCCCATCCTTCTGTTCCTGCTTGCGCTGCTCTCCCCGCAGCGCCGCTGCTACAGCAGCTGGAGACCACTCTCAAGTACGGCGCCGCGCCTCATGCGCCCTTCCCCGCGCCCTCCCCCATCAGCGCGTCCCCCAGCTACAGCATTCCCGCACAGCTGCTACACCCTCCGCCCACCTCTGTTCCCGCATCCACTGCTCCAGACGCTGCTTTAAATTCGAGCAGCGCGTTGCCAGCAGTAGGTGCTGCAGCAACAGGGGCAGCAGCAGTCGCTCGCAGGGCCCATGGTGATGGTGGCACGGATGCGGGGCAGATTGGAGAAAAAGGGCAGTCAGACGCATCAGACGCAGCAGAAGGAACGTCAACACCAGCAGCAGCACCAGCAACCTCAACAGCAGCAGCACCAACGACAGCAGCAACGCCAGCAGCGTCAACAGCAGCAGGCAGTGCAGAGGCACGGATGAAGGAGGCAGTGCAAGCGGAGATCAGGCGTGAGTTTGCAGCTCTCATGGCAGCGGGTGGCCTGGCTGCCAGCGAGGCTGCTGCTGCTGCTGTCAGGCGAGTGGTGGCCCGCCATGGCCTCACAGCTGCTGCTGCTGCTCCCTAGCTCGTCACTCGTGTGGAAAGATGGACTTGCAGTCTCCTTGTGCATACAGTTGGAAACACATCCAGCATCTTTAAATTCTGCAGTCATGTGACAGGCTGGTCCTAAGCAAAGCAGAGCTTGACCCAATGTTATCGTAAAAACAATTTAAATATTCCAGCTGATTACTGGTGAAACTGTGGGTGCATGATTGAACGTTTCAACAACTGGGTCCAACTGCCATATGACAGCCTGAAACAATCATGCATGTACACATCCATTGCCTGCTCTGTCGCGTTGCAACTCGGGCGAATCAACTTGGGACCTGAGCGTGAAGCGTCATCCTTTGAATGATTTGAGCATGGAGCTGCTGCCGACCCGCATCACGCGGCCCTTGCCAAACGACAGCGTCTTATTGCTGCTGCTGTCAGCGGAGAAGGGCATGGGGCGGGTTTGGCTCTTGTTCCTCTGCAGCCCCTTGAAGCTGCGGTGCGAGGTCATGAGGCGCGGCCGCGCTAGGTACTCGTCGGGCGCGAGGGGCAGGCCCAGCGCGGTGCGCATGGCGGTGAGCAGCTCGGGGAAGCTCTCTAGCGCGTCAAACAGGTCGTCCAGCAGCAGCAGGTACACCTCGCACTCCGTCTTCGCCTGCTGGGGGGGGGAGAAGGGGGAGGAAGGGTCCTGAGGGGTGTGTGCCATGTGGCACGGGCAGCGAGGGAAGCATGGGGAGTAGTGAGTGCGAGCATGGCACAGGGTGCTACGGGTGGAAGGGGGTGGGGCAGGGGGCACCTGGAAGGAGGCGGCCATGCAGATGACGCACCTGGAAGGAGGCGTCCATGCAGATGACGGACACGCGCTGGCTGCTCCACTCCTCCTCCCCCTTGCGCATCTCCAGAGCCGCCTTGAGCCCCTCCGTGCCCGCCACGTGCCCCTCGCCCACACTCTCCTTCTTGTACCCCACCGCCCCCGCCACTGCCGGCACCGCCTCCGCCACCGCCAGCGACCGCCCCATCGCACGCCTCTGCACCCCCACCCCCGCCCCCAACCCCCCTACCCCTGCTCCTGCTCCTGCTGCGCCCAGCAACCCTCCCAGCGACCCGCTTCTTCCGCCCCCCGGCGCCCCCCCATGCTCCTGCAGCGCCCTCGCCACCTCCTGCCCGGTGGGGGGAGGACAGACAGAGGGGAGACCACGGGGAGGGAAGGGAGAGGATAGTAGCGGGTTGAAGCGAAGGCACAGGGTGGACGGGAGCATATGCACATGCAGACACAGTCACAGAGCGGTGTTTGACAGGGCAGGGGCGAGCATGGGAGGCGAGGGATAGTGCATGCAGGGGGCTAGTGAATGAGTTGTGTTTTTGAATGTGACCAAACGACCGAGACACGGAGTGGGTGGCACGACGTACAGGTGGCAGCTGCACCTCCTCTATCCCCCCTTTCATCTCCACCGCACACCCATCCACGTCAGCTTCACAGCCCGCCACCTCAGCAGCGGCGTGGGTGGGCGCGAGGGCGGGCGGCGGGCCGTCCTTGAGGCGGGTGACGTCGAGGGTGCCGGAGCGCACGATGTAGAGGTGCCGCGTGAACTCGCCCTCGCTCGCTACCACGTCCGCTGGCGCCACGCGCCGCAGAATGAGGCACGGAAACACGTGCGCCAGGAACGAGTGGTTGTGCGGTAGCATGGGGCTGCCGGGGGGCGCGGGCGGGCGGGAGAGAGCGGGGGGAAAGGGGGAAGGGAGGGGTAGGGGGCCACGGTGAGGAACAAGGGGGTTGAAGGATGATGGTTGGGTAGGGAGGAGAGGAGGTGGGAAGGGGCGTGGTGGAGTGAGTGCCATTGGCGAGGCGCGCAAGTTGCATGTGAGGGGCGGCAATGCGGGTGGTGGGGCAGGGCTCACCTGGGGGGCACGTGGCGCTGCCACCAGTGAGAGGCTCACCTGGGGAGCACGTGGCGCTGCCACCAGTGAGAGGCTCACCTGGGGGGCACGTGGCGCTGCCACCAGTGAGAGGCTCACCTGGGGGGCACGTGGCGCTGCCACCAGTGAGAGGCTCACCTGGGGAGCACGTGGCGCTGCCACCAGTGAGAGGCTCACCTGGGGAGCACGTGGCGCTGCCACCAGTGAGAGGCTCACCTGGGGAGCACGTGGCGCTGCCACCAGTGAGAGGCTCACCTGGGGAGCACGTGGCGCTGCCACCAGTGAGAGGCTCACCTGGGGAGCACGTGGCGCTGCCACCAGTGAGAGGCTCACCTGGGGAGCACGTGGCGCTGCCACCAGTGAGAGGCTCACCTGGGGAGCACGTGGCGCTGCCACCAGTGAGAGGCTCACCTGGGGAGCACGTGGCGCTGCCACCAGTGAGAGGCTCACCTGGGGAGCACGTGGCGCTGCCACCAGTGAGAGGCTCACCTGGGGAGCACGTGGCGCTGCCACCAGTGAGAGGCTCACCTGGGGAGCACGTGGCGCTGCCACCAGTGAGAGGCTCACCTGGGGAGCACGTGGCGCTGCCACCAGTGAGAGGCTCACCTGGGGAGCACGTGGCGCTGCCACCAGTGAGAGGCTCACCTGGGGAGCACGTGGCGCTGCCACCAGTGAGAGGCTCACCTGGGGAGCACGTGGCGCTGCCACCAGTGAGAGGCTCACCTGGGGAGCACGTGGCGCTGCCACCAGTGAGAGGCTCACCTGGGGAGCACGTGGCGCTGCCACCAGTGAGAGGCTCACCTGGGGAGCACGTGGCGCTGCCACCAGTGAGAGGCTCACCTGGGGAGCACGTGGCGCTGCCACCAGTGAGAGGCTCACCTGGGGAGCACGTGGCGCTGCCACCAGTGAGAGGCTCACCTGGGGAGCACGTGGCGCTGCCACCAGTGAGAGGCTCACCTGGGGAGCACGTGGCGCTGCCACCAGTGAGAGGCTCACCTGGGGAGCACGTGGCGCTGCCACCAGTGCACAAAGAGGTCCGCCCGCAGGTCGTCCTGCCAGCAGCACATTCACATGGGACCGGGGCAGAGGAGGGCGTGAGCAACGGTGCGGAGCGAAAGGCAAAGGAAGAGGGTGAAGGTTTGAAGAGCAGGGCAGAGTGTGGGCGGGGTGGGAGTGAGGGAGAGCCCATGGCTCACCGAGAGCGCGTCGATGAGGTCGCCCTCGTGGAAGCGCTGCGACAGCTCCGACTGCCACTTGCCCGTGAGGCTCACCATCTGATGCACCGTGGGGGGACGGGGATGGGGGAGCCTCCAAGTGGGCAAATGAGTGCGCGTGAAGAATGTGGGAATATGGAGATCAGGAAACGGGGAGCAGCAGGAGAAGAGGGAACAGGGGTGGCGATTTGTTGTGTTGTGGTGGTGGCAGAGCGCAGAGCGCAGAGCACAGAGCAGAGAGCACAGAGCAGAGAGGAGAGAGCAGAGAGTACCATTCGGTTGGCGAGCCATTCCGAGATCTCCTCCTTCTCTATGAACCTGCCAGCAGCCACACAAGGAGATGAACGCAGGTGGTGACGCGATGAGATCGGTGCGGTGTGCCAGAAGGTAGCACTAGTGGCTCAACTGATGGCCCAAGGAGTGAAGATTTGGAAAGTGCAGAGGAGAGGGGAGGGCAGGCAGTGGCGGGGGGGTGGCACCTGTGCAGCGTGTTGCAGCGCTGGCGCACGGACTCGCGGCGAGCACGGCTGGAGTAGATGAGGGAGGAGATCTGCCCGATGGCGTAGCCCAGCAGGATGGACGTCACCAGGATGTATGCCGTGGCAAACAGGCGCTCTGCCAGTGTGTCCACCGGGTGGATGTCCCCGTACCCCACCTGGTAGGGGGGTGGTGATGCATGGCAGAGGGGGCGGGGGGAGGGATGATGGAAGGGAGAAGGAGAAGGTATGATGCAATGAGCACAGCGCGCACATGCATGATGACAGGAGGTTACCAAGGGAGGCGGGAGGGAGGCAGGCACGGGGGGGTAATGGAGAGGAGGTGGAGTGGGTGTGGGGAGTGTGGGAAGAATTGAGGGGCGAGGTGAGTGGGACGTGTGGCTCGTAGGCAAGGTCGGTAGGCAGGGGGGTTCGAAGACGAGGTACAGAGAGAAGCGGGCAGCAGCAGGCGGGAAGAGGCAGACGTAGAGGCGGAGAGGGGCTTGGAGGGCAGGCGGGGGCGCACAGAGGCGAAGGTGAGCATGTGAGAGCAGAGCACGCACAGAGGCGAAGGTGACCATGGCCCAGTAATAGGCTGCAGCATACACCACCCCGTGCGGTGCACTCTCGAGTGTCTCCTGGGTGCCCCCGTTGCTCCAGTTGAACGCTGCCAGCCACGACTCGGGCGCCGTCTCGAGGCGACCGATGAGTGCAAAGGCACACGCGCCCACATGGCACACCATGCAGATCTGCCCGGGGTGCAGCGGGTGGTGGACGAGGGTGGGTGGTGGGGGGGAAGGGGAGGAGGGAGGGGGGGTGAGGTGAGAGGAGCACAGCGGTGGGGCAAGGGGTTTCGGAGAATGGATGGTGTGGTTGATGGATGGTGTGGTTGATGGATGGTGTGGTTGATGGATGGTGTGGTTGATGGATGGTGTGGTTGATGGATGGTGTGGTTGATGGATGGTGTGGTTGATGGATGGTGTGGTTGATGGATGGTGTGGTTGATGGATGGTGTGGTTGATGGATGGTGTGGTTGATGGATGGTGTGGTTGATGGATGGTGTGGCTGATGGATGGTGTGGTTGATGGATGGTGTGGTTGATGGATGGTGTGGTTGATGGATGAAGTGCTGCTGAGGTGGACAGTGGGATGCTCGTCCCACCTGCAGCACGAGGATGGTCGTCCCACCTGCAGCACGAGGATGGTCATCTCCATGTAGAGCCCTGCGAGCGCGGACTGCCTCAGCTGCTGCGTTGCCTGCCCCAACCGCCTCAGCCGCAGCAGCTTCAGCAACCGCAACGCCTGGCTGGCGGTAAAGGAGGGAGACGGGCAGGGGGAAGGGGGGGGCAGGGAGGACGAGGAGGAAGAGCAATGGGAGAAGTGGGTGAGAGGGGGGAGGGTGGAAGAAGAGGGACAGAGGGAAGGTGGAACAAAAGGGACAGAATGGGGAGAAATTGCAGGAGGAGAGATGGCGGAAAGGACGGGCAGTTGGGGGAGTGAATGCAGGAGGGGGAGTGAATGCAGGAGGGGGAGTGAATGCAGGAGGGGGAGTGAATGCAGGAGGGGGAGTGAATGCAGGAGGGGGAGTGAATGCAGGAGGGGGAGTGAATGCAGGAGGGGGAGTGAATGCAGGAGGGGGAGTGAATGCAGGAGGGGAAGGGGAATGCAACATCCAGTGAAGCGTGGGGAATGTAGGGGGAGGGGGGGGGTTTGAAGGAAGTTGGGAGGGGGGGACTGACGGCGGAGAGCCAAAAGCCGACGCTGGACTGGGCGAGGGAGGAGGTGATGAGGTCGATGGGCAGCGAGGAGAGCACGTCCACCACGAACCACGTGCGCAGGTAGTGCCACACTATGCACCGCTGCCAGCGGCAGGTGGGAGGGGAGTGGAGGAGTGAGTGAGGCAGGCGCAGTGGTAGGCGGTGATGTGAGGCACGACGATGCAGAGCGGATGGCGGGAAATGATGATGCAGGTGCCTGTGTGGTGTGGTGTGGTGCCACGAGGTGCAAAGGCATGCTGGCTTGATGTCGATCGTGCCTCACCTGGTCCATCACGATCTGCTGGGGCAGCAGCATCTTCACCCCGCCCTCCCCCATCACGTGCTTCTCCCGCGTCAGGTACCTGCGCGCCCCAATCGGACCAGCGCCGGCAAGGGAGGGCGAGCAGAGGGGCGAGGGGAGGGCGAGGGGAGGGCGAGCAGAGGGGCGAGGGGAGGGCGAGGGGAGGGCGAGCAGAGGGGCGAGGGGAGGGCGAGGGGAGGACAGACGGGGGGCGAGAGAGGAGGATGTGGATGGCATGAGTGAGGGCGGGTGGCGGATGGGAGAAGATGGAGGTGCAGTGCAGCATGAACGGTGTGGGGGAGAAGGGGGGTTGTTTCGGAGGGACAGTCACGAAGTGCAGCAGAGAGGGGCTGCTACGACGAACCAACCTGCTCTCACCCACAACTTCTCCATGCCCCCATTCACTCTCCATGCCCCCATTCACTCTCCATGCCCCCATTCACTCTCCATGCCCCCATTCACTCTCCATGCCCTCGCCCTTTTTCTATGCCCTGACCATCTCCCACCCAGGTGTGAGCGCCCATTCCCAACCCAGGCGCGGCCCCCCAATGGCGCAGCGCAGAAGCGCGAGACGGACCCACCCGGTTTTGAAGCCAAGCAGCACGTCAGCGAGGTAGACGAGGGAGAGGCAGGAGTCGACGATGAGCCATGCGCCCGTGGCCCTGAGGTCGAACGCCACCATGTACAGCAGCTCCCACTGCCATGGCGCCACACGTGCATAGTGTGAGCACGGGCACGGGCATGGGCATGGGCATGGGCATGGGCATGGGCATGGGCATGGGCATGGGCATGGGCATGGGCATGGGCATGGGCATGGGCATGGGCATGGGCATGGGCATGGGCATGGGCATGGGCATGGGCATGGGCATGGGCATGGGCATGGGCATGGGCATGGGCATGGGCATGGGCATGGGCATGGGCATGGGCATGGGCATGGGCATGGGCATGGGCAGGACCAGGGGCATGCAGTGCGTGGTGTGAGACACACAGGAGTCCTTATTGGTTGACGCACGCACGCCAAGTGGGAGAGGTGCTGGGTGTGAGCACAGGAGGATGCACGAGGAGCATACAAGCAATGCATGGCAAGAGAGGAGCAGCAGAGGGGCTGACTCACAACGAGGTTAGAGGCGATGCATGGCAAGCGACTCACGAGGTTGGAGGCGATGCACGCGCCCACGATGATGTTCACGTCGCGCCGGAAGCGCGAGTACGGGTGCACGATGGGGATGCGCACGCGCATGGCCGCCGCCAGCGCCGCCTTGAACGCCACCACGCACGGCCCTCCGCGCCACCACCGCCGCGCGCCCATCTGCTCCGCGTCGGGCGGCTCACTCTCCTGGGAGTTTCCTGGTCTGAGCTGCATGGGCACGTACATATACTCCTCCAGCGCCACCCGCGCCGCCCCCTCCTTCCCCGGCGTCCTGCGCACGCTGCCGCCGCTGTCGCTGCTGCTGCCGCTGCTGCTGCTGCCGTCGTCCCCACCGCGTGACGCGAACACGCCAGAGGCGCTTTTCATCACCCATTGGAAGGGCGAGCGCGCCTTGAGTGGCGCGGCAGCGGGTGGCGTGTCGAACGCGAAGGAGAGCGCCACGTCGTCGCCCGGGTCGTCCTCGCGCAGCTCCTTGGCGGACCGCCACAGCCGCGCGCGCAACCGCCGCTGCCCGAACAGCGGCTTGCCGCCCGGCAGCGGTTCTCCCTCCGCCCCTCCCCTTGCCCCCGCCACCCCGCTCCTGCTCGTGCCGTCCCCGTCGGGCCGCTCCCCGCCGTCCGGCACGGGCAGCTGCAGCACGTCGAAGGGCGACACGGGAAGGGCTGACGCGGGGAGGGACGACACGGGGAGCACGTCAAGGGACGACGGCGGCGAGCAGCTGCCGGAGGTGTCGAGGCGCGGCTCGCTCGAGTGTCCATGGCGTCGCCGCGCCCCTCCATCATGCGCTGGTTTAGCGACTCGCTTTTTTCGCGCCGCTCCGCCGGCGAGCCGAGATGCTCCGTTTGGAAGTCGAGCCGCGACTGGCGGCGCTGTGCCGCGTGGTTAGCGGTGGCCGCATCGTGTTCCACGTTGCGGTGCGACAAGGTGCGCCACGGGCGATTGATGCGGCGGCCGGGGGTGCGATTGGTGTGCTCGTTAGAGTGAGAGTGAGAGTGGGGGAGGGAGTGGGAGTGCGAGTGAGGGTACGCGTGGGAGTGCGAGTGGGGGTGAGTCGCGGCGTCTATCATCATCGACGCCGGCACTGACGTCACCATCGCCGCGCGCCAATGCTGGGACCGTCAGCTGAGACGGCCCGCTTCAATGAGGCCCGAGTGGTGTTCTCAATGCAACCCTAACGGCGACTAACGTCGTGCTTCAACTCTACCCCCTCGCCTGCCCGAAGACTAGACATTACGCGAGCAGTGCACCGTAAGCTAAATAGCTCTTCGAGATTCAGCGGTATGAATGAACAAGAACACGCTGACGGCCACACGAAGTGCAAGCGACCAGTAGGGCAAGTGTGGTGGACAGAAAGGCAACGGCAGGCGTGACAAATAGCAAGGCGAGGGGGGAGCGAGCGAATCCAGCTGACCACGAGCCGCCACCTCGCCCAGGATTCCCACAACAATGCCAACCTGTACACTATTGTGAATTACTCAACTTCATAACATGGGCAATCCCCCACACTAACTACAATGTATGACTCCCTCATCGGCAATGTTGTGAGGCAGCTAATGGCATGTGCCACTTTGTCAATATCTAGTATCTCTATTTGCGGTTAGACTTGAGTTGATGCGAGGATGTGTTCATCCTGCGCGTGCTGAGCGCCTTGCGGTACCGCACCAGCTGCTCCTGCTCCGTTAGCGGAAGGCCCAGGCTCAAGCGCAGGGCTGTTAGTAGCTCGGGGAAACTCTCGAGCGTGTCAAATAGATCGTCGATTAGCAGCAGCAGCAGCTCACACTCCGTCTTCGCCTGCTCACATGCACAGCCCATCCCAACCACCAGGACAATATTTCTCGTTTATAATTTTGCCTGAAAAAAAAGCAGGCATAAAAGCAATGTAACAAGTGCCGTGTCACAGAATCAAACCAGGAGCATACCTGGAAGGTTCCTTCCATGAAGAGGAAGGGGACTCGTTGCTCGAGCCACGAGGGTTCGCTGGTCTGCAGCTCGAGCACCTCTGAGAGCCCGTCCAGCCCCATCACATGGCCCACGCCCACCGTCCTGCTCTCAAACGCTGCCTGCCCCAGCAGGTGGCTCTCATGCCGCACCGACCCATGGCTCTCATGCGACGCCGCTGTGCTGTGCACGCGAGGCACCACGCCACTCGCACCCCTCTGCCCTGCCCCCTCTCCACACCCTTCCTCCGCTGTGCCCTCCTGCAGTGGCTCACTACCATGGCCAGGCAACGCAGGTTCCTCCCACGAGTCGCAGTGCACGAGGCTGCTGCTCTGTATGGTGCACAGCGCTGGCTCGTACGCACACGTGCGCCGCACACACGGTGAGCACCCAAGCATGGCAGGGCTGTCGCCATGATCGCCGTGGCGCGGGCCGCATGCACCGGGCGCAGGCGAGGCATCCCCACCATGCATGCTGCCTGCATCATCCATGCCGTTGCTGCTCTTCTTCCCATACGGGGCTGGCTTGGGGTTGGGCATGTCAAAAGAGGTGGCGTCGGGTGTGGCGTCGAGCGGCGGCAGCGCAGGGCTGCCGTGGGAGGAGCGGCTGGCCTGGCGCTGCAGCGAGCGCGCCCGGCACCGCCTCATGCTCACTGCGCGTGCCAGCTTCATGCCCTCCCTGCCCAGCTGGGGTGGGCGAGGGGGAGAGGTGGGGGTTGGCAAACAAGCGGAAGATCACAGGGAGAAGCAACAACGGTTGTTGCTACAACAACACGACAAGGTGGGAAATCAAGAGATTCCAAGACCATCGGAGGGTGGCAGCAAAACACCCCCCTCCCCCAAGCCTACCATGGGTTTGCCTGGCAGCGTGGCGGCAGTCTCGACGAGAGTGTCGGCCCCGTGCAGCGCCCACGCCATCTCGGCCCCGTGCAGCGCCCACGCCATCTCCAGCGTGCCCGCGCGCACCACGTACACGTGCCGGCTCACCTCGCCCTCTCGCACCACCACATCCCCCGCTGCCACTGCACGCGGCACCAGCACGCGCTGTAGAGTGGCCAGGCACTGCTGCTCGTGTGGGAAGAAGGGGCTGCAGGGGCAGGGAGAGGAGGGCGGGTGGGGGGAGGGATGCATGAGGATGGGACGTGTGCGAAGAAGGTTAAAGGTGTGGCAGCAAACGGAGTGTGGAAGGGTGGTACGTGGAACGAGGCGGAGAGATGGACAAGGTGGCAAGGGAGAAATGAAGCAGGAGGAGGAGCGCATGGCAGCAGCGGAGGGAGCGGACCTGGCAGGCACGTGTTGCGTCCACCAGTGCACAAAGAGGTCCGTGCGCAGATCGTCCTGTGGCCATGCCGCCATGCACACCGAGAAAGGGGGGGTCAGAGGTCCAGTCCAGGGATACAGTGGCACAGTGGAGAAACGTGAGAGGGAGAGACGCAAGGCAGAGTGAAGAGATGCATTCCTTGTGTTGGTCGGCACGGATATAGTGTGCATGTCCCACACTCTCTGCATGTCCCACACTCTCTGCATGTCCCACACTCTCTGCATGTCCCACACTCTCTGCATGTCCCACACTCTCTGCATGACTCACAGTGAGGCTCTGCATGAGCTCGAGCTCCTCAAACTTGCTGTTGACTGACGCCTGCCACTGCCGCATCAGATACGCCATCTGCACTCGCGAAGGGGTGGTAACGGGTGACAGGGGGAGGAGCCAGGGGGAGCCATGGCAACGGGTGATAGACGCACGGCACAGAGATGGAGCAGCGGACGGGCGGGTGCCATGCAGTGGAGAGAGGCAGTAAGCAGCAGGAGATCTTCTAGCCAGCAGATGCAGGGCGAGGGGCAAGGAGCAAGCAGCGGTCTTTCTGTAAAACTTGTGACAGAGGCAGTGGGAATGAGGGGGCGGGGGGCGGAGGGCAGGCGAGCGCACCATGCGGTTGGCGAGCCACTCTGGCAGGCGCTCCCTCTCGATGAACCTGCACCGCGCACATGCATGCACGCATGCACCCAAGGGGGAGCACGGATGCACGACACACGGAACACAGGAGCGCGAGGGCGGAGTGAGGACGGTGAAGTGGGAGAGCAGTGGAGAGGCATTGGGGAGCAATAATGTGGATACGAAGGATGGGAGGTGAGCAGCACCTGTGGAGGGTGAGCAGCACCTGTGGAGGGTGAGCAGCACCTGTGGAGGGTGAGCAGCACCTGTGGAGGGTGAGCAGCACCTGTGGAGGGTGAGCAGCACCTGTGGAGGGTGAGCAGCACCTGTGGAGGGTGAGCAGCACCTGTGGAGGGTGAGCAGCACCTGTGGAGGGTGAGCAGCACCTGTGGAGGGTGAGCAGCACCTGTGGAGGGTGAGCAGCACCTGTGGAGGGTGAGCAGCACCTGTGGAGGGTGAGCAGCACCTGTGGAGGGTGAGCAGCACCTGTGGAGGGTGAGCAGCACCTGTGGAGGGTGAGCAGCACCTGTGGAGGGTGAGCAGCACCTGTGGAGGGTGAGCAGCACCTGTGGAGGGTGAGCAGCACCTGTGGAGGGTGAGCAGCACCTGTGGAGGGTGAGCAGCACCTGTGGAGGGTGAGCAGCACCTGTGGAGGGTGAGCAGCACCTGTGGAGGGTGAGCAGCACCTGTGGAGGGTGAGCAGCACCTGTGGAGGGTGAGCAGCACCTGTGGAGGGTGAGCAGCACCTGTGGAGGGTGAGCAGCACCTGTGGAGGGTGAGCAGCACCTGTGGAGGGTGAGCAGCACCTGTGGAGGGTGAGCAGCACCTGTGGAGGGTGAGCAGCACCTGTGGAGGGTGAGCAGCACCTGTGGAGGGTGAGCAGCACCTGTGGAGGGTGAGCAGCACCTGTGGAGGGTGAGCAGCACCTGTGGAGGGTGAGCAGCACCTGTGGAGGGTGAGCAGCAGCACCTGTGGAGGGTGAGCAGCAAGCACCTGTGGAGGGTGAGCAGCAAGCACCTGTGGAGGGTGAGCAGCAAGCACCTGTGGAGGGTGAGCAGCAAGCACCTGTGGAGGGTGAGCAGCAAGCACCTGTGGAGGGTGAGCAAGCACCTGTGGAGGGTGAGCAGCACCTGTGGAGGGTGAGCAGCACCTGTGGAGGGTGAGCAGCACCTGTGGAGGGTGAGCAGCACCTGTGGAGGGTGAGCAGCACCTGTGGAGGGTGAGCAGCACCTGTGGAGGGTGAGCAGCACCTGTGGAGGGTGAGCAGCACCTGTGGAGGGTGAGCAGCACCTGTGGAGGGTGAGCAGCACCTGTGGAGGGTGAGCAGCACCTGTGGAGGGTGAGCAGCACCTGTGGAGGGTGAGCAGCACCTGTGGAGGGTGAGCAGCACCTGTGGAGGGTGAGCAGCACCTGTGGAGGGTGAGCAGCACCTGTGGAGGGTGAGCAGCACCTGTGGAGGGTGAGCAGCACCTGTGGAGGGTGAGCAGCACCTGTGGAGGGTGAGCAGCACCTGTGGAGGGTGAGCAGCACCTGTGGAGGGTGAGCAGCACCTGTGGAGGGTGAGCAGCACCTGTGGAGGGTGAGCAGCACCTGTGGAGGGTGAGCAGCACCTGTGGAGGGTGAGCAGCACCTGTGGAGGGTGAGCAGCACCTGTGGAGGGTGAGCAGCACCTGTGGAGGGTGAGCAGCACCTGTGGAGGGTGAGCAGCACCTGTGGAGGGTGAGCAGCACCTGTGGAGGGTGAGCAGCACCTGTGGAGGGTGAGCAGCACCTGTGGAGGGTGAGCAGCACCTGTGGAGGGTGAGCAGCACCTGTGGAGGGTGAGCAGCACCTGTGGAGGGTGAGCAGCACCTGTGGAGGGTGAGCAGCACCTGTGGAGGGTGAGCAGCACCTGTGGAGGGTGAGCAGCACCTGTGGAGGGTGAGCAGCACCTGTGGAGGGTGAGCAGCACCTGTGGAGGGTGAGCAGCACCTGTGGAGGGTGAGCAGCACCTGTGGAGGGTGAGCAGCACCTGTGGAGGGTGAGCAGCACCTGTGGAGGGTGAGCAGCACCTGTGGAGGGTGAGCAGCACCTGTGGAGGGTGAGCAGCACCTGTGGAGGGTGAGCAGCACCTGTGGAGGGTGAGCAGCACCTGTGGAGGGTGAGCAGCACCTGTGGAGGGTGAGCAGCACCTGTGGAGGGTGAGCAGCACCTGTGGAGGGTGAGCAGCACCTGTGGAGGGTGAGCAGCACCTGTGGAGGGTGAGCAGCACCTGTGGAGGGTGAGCAGCACCTGTGGAGGGTGAGCAGCACCTGTGGAGGGTGAGCAGCACCTGTGGAGGGTGAGCAGCACCTGTGGAGGGTGAGCAGCACCTGTGGAGGGTGAGCAGCACCTGTGGAGGGTGAGCAGCACCTGTGGAGGGTGAGCAGCACCTGTGGAGGGTGAGCAGCACCTGTGGAGGGTGAGCAGCACCTGTGGAGGGTGAGCAGCAAGCACCTGTGGAGGGTGAGCAGCACCTGTGGAGGGTGAGCAGCACCTGTGGAGGGTGAGCAGCACCTGTGGAGGGTGAGCAGCACCTGTGGAGGGTGAGCAGCACCTGTGGAGGGTGAGCAGCACCTGTGGAGGGTGAGCAGCACCTGTGGAGGGTGAGCAGCACCTGTGGAGGGTGAGCAGCACCTGTGGAGGGTGAGCAGCACCTGTGGAGGGTGAGCAGCACCTGTGGAGGGACGCGGGAGGTGGGAGTGAGGAGCGCAGTGAAGGTGGAATGGCGTGACAGTTGTGCAGGAAAGGAAGGTACTGTGGGTCCTGCGGGCACGCACGCACCCCAGCGAATGTGACCATGGACCAATAAATAGCTGCCACGTAGACGACGCCGGTGGGTGCTGACTCCAGCGTCTGCGCCACGCTATCCTGGCTCCAATAGGTTGCCGCCAGCCATGTCTCGTTCGGCAGCTCTAGCCGGCCAATCAGCACGAATATGCAGGCGCCTATGTGGCAGAGCATGCAGATCTGAGGAGCAGGATGGGGAGGCAGAGAGAGCGGGCAGCACAGCAGAGGAGAGCAAGTGAGCCTGGTGGGGTGCGTGATGCCTCACTGCCACCCAAACAGCCACTCGTACTTACTCTCCTAATTAAAACTTGAGTTGTTATTAGCAGACAAGAGAGAGGAGGTGGAGCAGGAGGATGAGCCGGAGCACGAGCAGAATGAGGAGCAGAATGAGGAGCAGAATGAGGAGCAGGATGAGGAGCAGGATGAGGAGCAGAATGAGGAGCAGGATGAGGAGCAGGATGAGGAGCAGGATGAGGAGCAGGATGAGGAGCAGGATGAGGAGCAGGATGAGGAGCAGGATGAGGAGCAGGATGAGGAGCAGGATGAAAGAATCTCAAGTGTTGTCTTGATTAGAAAGAGTGTGGGTACATATAGGAGATGAGAAGTTTTGGGAACGAAGTGGGGTACCCTCAGCATTTATTGGTGGACCAATCAGATTGGGTCGACCAACAATTGCTGGGGTAACCAACAATCGTTGGAGGGGACCATTATTGGCCCCCCCCCCGTCAATTGCGGTCGAGTTGGGTTTGGGGGCGCCCAACCAAAATTGGTTGGGTCGCCTTGACCCAAAGTGTACACCCACTTTAGGGTGTAACACATGCACAAATATAAACATACATTATGCTATATTCTAACACAACCCCGTAGCATAAGAGGTTTATAAGTGTGCACAACCCCGGAATCATGAAGCCGGGGAGAGGCCAAGAAGGCGAAGGAAGGCCCGGTGGGCTAGCTTCGGAAGAGCTTTGGTGAAGATGTCAGCGAGGTTGGCTTCGGCGGCAATTTTTCGGACGGCAAGATGGCCTTGCTGGACAAGATCGCGAATGTAGAAGTAGCGTAGTTCGATGTGTTTGGAGCGCCCGTGGAAGACCGGATTCTTGGTGAGGTGGATCGTGCTGGCGTTGTCGCACCAGAGCGTGGGGCATGGCTGGGGGGCCCCAAGCTCGGCTAGCAAGAAGGAAAGCCAGCGTCCTTCCTGCGCAGCCATGGTACCAGCATAGAGTTCGGCTTCACAAGATGAGAGGGCGATGGCGGAGGAGCGGGTGGAGCGCCAGCTGACCAAGCCGCTACCGAGCGTGAAGCCATATCCTTGGGAAGAGCGGCGATCCGGCTGAGAGTCTGCCCAAGACGAGTCACTGAAGCCGGTGAGGAGCGGGGGAGAGGCACCACCAAGGGTGAGAACATGGTCCTGAGTGCCACGGAGGTAGCGTAGGACTCGTTTGGCGGCTCTCCAATGCACGGAGGTGTGACGACCGGTACCGACGAAACGCGCCAGGACGCTGATGGGGTAGGCGAGGTCGGGACGGGTCCCCATCATGGCATACATGATGGAGCCAACCAGTTCCGCATAGGGCTGAGTGGAGGCGGAGGGGGAGGTGGGTGGAGCAAGCCGATGGCCGAATGGAAGGGGAGTGGCCACTGGGTTGGCGAGAGCCATGTCGAACCGCTCCAACACCTGCTGAAGATAGTGAGATTGAGATAAGGTGATGGTGCGGGCAGCTCGATCGCGTGTGATCTCCATGCCCAAGTAGTGGCGTAATTCGCCAAGGTCCTTGCACTGGAGACGAGCTTGTAGTTCTTCCTTAACGTCGGTCATGTCGGCGGAGGTGTCGGCGAGGAGCACCATGTCGCCAACATAGACTAGGACGAAGAAGCGGCTGGGACGGGTCCGAATGAAGAGACTGGCGTCAGAGTGAGATGGTTGAAATCCGAGAGCACAGAGTGTAGATGCCAGCTTAGCATGCCATTCCCGAGGAGCCTGCTTCAGGCCGTAGACTGGACGGCGTAGTTCCCAGACAGTGTCTGGTGGGAAGGCTTCATGGAAGCCATCTGGGCGGTCGAGGAAGATTTGTTCGTGGAGGTTCCCCTGAAGAAAAGCGTTAGAGACATCCATTGATGAGATCTCCATGCCGTTGCGGGAGCCAAAGTCGAGAAGCGTGCGAAGGGTCCCGAATTTTGCGGTAGGTGAGAAGGTTTCCCAAAAGTCCTTGGCATAGGTCTGTGTGAAGCCCTTGGCGCAGTAACGGGCTTTGTAGACGGGCTCCTCCCCCGGAAGCTGCTTCACCCGGAAGACCCACTTGCCAGCGACAATGTTGCCATCTGGAGGCGGCTTGACATCGACGAAGGAATCATTGCGAATGAAGGCGTCGCACTCCTTGCGAATGGCCTCCAGCCATTTGTCAGCGTCAGGGCACGTGATTGCCTCCTGGAATGTGGTAGGCGTGAAGATGAGAGGTGAGGAGGGAGTGCCAAGTACAACCGCGCCCAAAAGGGCAAGGTACACAGGGTTAAGGGAAGGAACGTGAGTGTGAATGGCACAAAACTCCTCATGGGAGTCTTCATGAATGAGAGGTGGTTGACCAAGAATGGGGTCAAGGGAGCGAGTGTGCATGCGTGGGAGGAGGAAGGGAGAGCGTGAGGTGAGAGAAGTGCGAGGACGTGGGGAGGATGCAGGAGGTGCGGCGGGCGAGGATGGAGGAGGAGAAGCTGGAGGGAGGTGGGTGGGAGGGGAGGGAGGAGGGGGAGAGGGAGGAGGGGGAGCGGTGGAAAGGGCAGGTGAGGCAGCAGGATCATAGATATCAGCCGAGGAAGGTGGAGGTGAGAGTGGAGTAGTTGGGAGGAGTGGAGCAGATGGGAGGAGAGGAGGAAGAAGGGCATCCGCCCAGGTGAGTGGGCGGGAGGGTGGGGGGAGAGGGTCGGAGGGAGGAGGAGAGGAGTAGTAGGGGATGGTTTCATCGAAGACGACATCGCGGCTGCGAATGAGGCGTCCGGAGGGAGGATGAAGGAAGAGGTACCCAGGAGAGCCACGATTGTGGCCGAGGTAGACGCACTCCAATGCTTTGGAGGCAAGTTTTCCTGCTTTGCGGGAACGGTCTGCGGGAGGAATGAGAACAAAGGATTTGCAGCCCCAGACGCGAAGGACGGAGGCATCAGGTTTGGAGTTGCACCAAAGCTCAGTGGGAGTGAGGTTGGGATGGTGGGGGTGAGGGTAGAGGTTGGTGAGAAGGGCGGCATGAGTGAGAGCATAGCCCCAAAGGGAGGGAGGGGTAGATGCATGGGTGAGGAGACAGCGGGCAGTTTTGGTGATCTCACGGATGCGACTTTCAGCTACACCGTTTTGTTGCGGAGAATGAGGGAGAGTGGACGTCTGTTGAGTGCCATGTGCTTTGCAGTAGGAGGCAATGGTATGGTTGAGAAACTCCCCGCCACCGTCAGAGTGAAGGCGACGGATGGGTCGGCCGAAGTGCACGCGCGCTTGTTCGGCCCAGGCGATGATGACAGCGGCTGCTTCAGCTTTCGTGTGGAGTAGAAACACAGAGGAGTAGCGGCTATGGTCGTCTACGAGGACGAGCATAAAGCGGTGGCCCTGGCGGGAAGGGGAGGGGGAGGGACCCCAGAGGTCCATGTGGACGAGATCTAGGGGAGCAGTAGCAAATGAGGGATGGCTGTGATGGGGTTTTTGTTTGAGTTTGCCATGAATGCAAGTGGGACAAGGAGGAGCTGGTGAGGTGGGTAGGGGAGGAAGGGCAGGGGGGAGCCCATGAAGGAGGCGAGAGGATATTGCGGCACGGAGGGTGGTGAAGTTGGGGTGACCAAGACGGTGATGGAGGAGAATGGCGGGGTGAGAGAGGGAGAGGTCGGGAGAGGTAGAGGGAGTGGGAGATGATGAAGGGGGAGGAGCAATGGTGGGAGAAGGGTAGGTGGAGCGACGGGTGGTGAGATGACATGATGCCGGAAAAGGGAGACGTAGTGTGTAAAGGTGAGTGCGGGGGCAGATTGGGAGGCGATAGACAAGGCGGCCAGTGGAGGTATGAATGAGATCGCAATAGGAAAAGTGGGCAGGAAAAATGGCGGTAATGCCGGCTTTTTGGAGATCATGAAGAGAAATAAGGTTGTGACGAAGAGTGGGAATGTGGAGGCCAGTGATAGTGCCGGAGGGAAAGAGGGGACACGGAAGAGTAGAGGAGTGTGTGCATGGGATCGAGAAGCTAGAATCAGCGCCATGAACAGTGGAGGGGAGAGATAGTGTTTTGAGAATGTCAGCGTCCTTCAGGGCACTGACGGTGGCCCCGCTATCGAGGACAAAGTCCAAGGTGAGCGGGGAAGGAGACGCAGAATACTGGAAGTCACTGTTATTAAGAACAGAGGGATACATGGAGGTGGTGCTAGGCAAGGGAGAAGCTAGCTGACCAAGAAAGCTAGAGTATGACTCAGCTGGGGAGGTATGGGCGGCGGTGGCGGCAGAACCGAAGCCAAGAGGTTGCTGCTGCCAGGCGGCAGTTGCTGCTGCTGCTGCTGCCGCTGCCGCTGATGTGGCGGCTGCGCCTCCCCCACCTCCCCAGGGCGGCTGCTGTGGCTGCTGGTGCGGCTGCGGCTGTGGGGGCAGCTGCGGGGGCTGCTGCAACTGCTGTGACTGAAGATGCTGCAAAAACTGCTGGAGTTGCAGTTGAGGAGAGGGAGTGGTGAGGTTAAGGTGGGAGGGTTGATAGAGAGGGAGATGTTGAACATCATGGACAGTGGGACGACTTGCAAGAGCGGACCAGCGGGGGGGGGTACCATGGTTACCACGATCAAACCAGGCATCGTCCAAGACGCCGAAGCAGGTGGTTATGGGGTGGTTGGTTTGACCGCAGGGTTCCCCAGCGCGAGGGCCGTGACGGCGAACGTAGGGGCAGGGGGGGAGTTGACCAGGTCCGCTACCACCACGTCCACTTCCTCCAGGGCCGCCCGTGCCAGAAGGAGTGCGTCCACCAAAGGTGCCACCACGTCCACCACCACGGCCGCCACCACGCCCACCTCCACGTCCGCCACCGCGACCACCACCACGCCCACCACCGCGTGTCTGGGTGGCGTTGAGTTCTGGCGCGGGTGCTTGAGCCGTGTTGAGAGAAGGCGGGTTGGTACGAAGGAGGCGGGTTTCGGTGTCAATGATCCATTGAACGACAGCAGCAACATCCGCAAACGGCTGATTTTCGCGGAAGGCAATGACGTGCATGTCGTAGGACGGGTTGAGACCGCGGAGAAGGCGATCTATCTGGATGAACTGGGGGAGTTCGGACTGGCGAGCCTTAAGTCGCTTGGCGAGAGAGGTCATGCGGCCGGTGTAGGCGACGGCACCAGTGCAGGTTGCGAGCGTTGTCTCCCAGTATTCGTCAAGGAGCAGCCCCACGGAGTTGACGTCATGGCGCTCAAACATGGCGTGAAGGGAGGCCCAAAGGGCAGGTGCGTGAAGCTCTTGTTCCTGAAAGTCTCGCATTAGAGCGGGGGGGAGACCACCAAGGATAATATTAGAGGCAGAAAGGTCAGATTCCTTCCAAGCAGCAGCTTTAGCGGTATATTCAGCGAGCGCGAGAGTGTAGCGGTCAGCCATGGTGCGGTGATTTATTATGGCAGCTTGGCGCATGTCGTATTGCTCGCGAGCCGCACGATGGTCCGCTCGGAGCGTGAGGAACCGACGCCGCTCGAGATCGTAGGCTGCTTCATCAGCGGCTTGGCGAACAGGATCCGTGGAGGCAGCGGGCAGATCTGGTTCGTCAGGTTCAGGTCCAGGGTCAGGCGGGAGAGTGGGGGCCGATCCAGGGGACATAGGGGGCGTTGGCGGGAGAGCGGCAGCATGGCGGAGGACAAGGTCGAGGAGGGTGGAGGAGGTGTTGGGGATGTGGATGACGCCGAGGAGGCGGCGCATGCTCCCTGTGTAGGAGTACCAGTTGATAGCGCTCTGATCGGGAGCGAGCTCGAGCCGATCAATGGAGAGAGTGCTGAAATTCTGAGGAAGAGAAGGAGCAGCCATAGCAGTAAGTTAGTGCGATGTGAGGGGAGAAAAAATGTTAGTAGCGAGCGAAAGCGAGGCAGGTTAGAAGCTGAGGGAGAGGAGGAGGGGGGTTAGTAGCAGCACGTGGGAGAGGATTGGGAGCAGTAGCGTGGCAGGAGAGGCGGAGAGCAGAGATAGTATGAGAGAGGCAGCGGGAGAGGAAACGGTGGGCGGAAGCAATGGGGGGGGGGGGGGGAAGGGTCGAGGGAGCGGCGGGGAGGAAGAGATGAGGCAGTAGCTAAGTGCCTGGCGGCGAGGGAGAGTAGGAGCAGCCGCGGCGAAGTGTCTTGCAGCGAGGAGACGCAGTGGCGGCGGCAAATTGCCCGCAGCGAGTGAGTAGAGGTGGCGGAGGCGAAATGCCCCGCGGCGAGTGGGAGCAGTGGCGGCGGCGGCGAAATGCCCCGCGGCGAGTGGGAGCAGTGGCGGCGGCGGCGAAATGCCCCGCGGCGAGTGGAGTAGTGGCGGCGGAGGCGAAATGCCCCGCGGCGAGTGGGAGCAGTGGCGGCGGAGGCGAAATGCCCCGTGGCGAGTGGGAGCAGTGGCGGCGGTGGCGAAATGCCCCGCGGCGAGTGGAGTAGTGGCGGCGGCGGCGAAATGCCCCGCGGCGAGTGGGAGCAGTGGCGGCGGCGGCGAAATGCCCCGCGGCGAGTGGGAACAGTGGCGGCGGCGGCGAAATGCCCCGCGTCGAGAGAAGCAGCGGCGGCGGCGGCGAAATGCCCCGCAAGGAAGAAAAGCGGTGCGAGAGTAGTGGCGACGGCGGATAGGTCGCGGCGATTGAGACGCCGGCAGCTGAGAACGTAAATGCGGCGGCAGGAGCTGAGGCGAGAAATTCGCCTTACGAGAGATAGAGTAGGAGCTGGAGGGAGGTGGTGACTGGTTGTACTTTACGGAAGATTGAACTTCAACCAAGTCAAACCCACGCAACAAGTTGCATGGGCAGGACGGAAGGGTCCTGACGAGCGGGGAGGAAAAAAAAAAAAAACTTGAGAGAAAGAGGTCGAGAGGGGCGTTTGCCAATTGGCTCTGAATACCATGAAAGAATCTCAAGTGTTGTCTTGATTAGAAAGAGTGTGGGTACATATAGGAGATGAGAAGTTTTGGGAACGAAGTGGGGTACCCTCAGCATTTATTGGTGGACCAATCAGATTGGGTCGACCAACAATTGCTGGGGTAACCAACAATCGTTGGAGGGGACCATTATTGGGCCCCCACCCGTCAATTGCGGTCGAGTTGGGTTTGGGGGCGCCCAACCAAAATTGGTTGGGTCGCCTTGACCCAAAGTGTACACCCACTTTAGGGTGTAACACATGCACAAATATAAACATACATTATGCTATATTCTAACACAGGATGAGGAGCAGGATGAGGAGCAGGATGAGGAGCAGGATGAGGAGCAGGATGAGGAGCAGGATGAGGAGCAGGATGAGGAGCAGGATGAGGAGCAGGATGAGGAGCAGGATGAGGAGCAGGATGAGGAGCAGGATGAGGAGCAGGATGAGGAGCAGGATGAGGAGCAGGATGAGGAGCAGGATGAGGAGCAGGATGAGGAGCAGGATGAGGAGCAGGATGAGGAGCAGGATGAGGAGCAGGATGAGGAGCAGGATGAGGAGCAGGATGAGGAGCAGGATGAGGAGCAGGATGAGGAGCAGGATGAGGAGCAGGATGAGGAGCAGGATGAGGAGCAGGATGAGGAGCAGGATGAGGAGCAGGATGAGGAGCAGGATGAGGAGCAGGATGAGGAGCAGGATGAGGAGCAGGATGAGGAGCAGGATGAGGAGCAGGATGAGGAGCAGGATGAGGAGCAGGATGAGGAGCAGGATGAGGAGCAGGATGAGGAGCAGGATGAGGAGCAGGATGAGGAGCAGGATGAGGAGCAGGATGAGGAGCAGGATGAGGAGCAGGATGAGGAGCAGGATGAGGAGCAGGATGAGGAGCAGGATGAGGAGCAGGATGAGGAGCAGGATGAGGAGCAGGATGAGGAGCAGGATGAGGAGCAGGATGAGGAGCAGGATGAGGAGCAGGATGAGGAGCAGGATGAGGAGCAGGATGAGGAGCAGGATGAGGAGCAGGATGAGGAGCAGGATGAGGAGCAGGATGAGGAGCAGGATGAGGAGCAGGATGAGGAGCAGGATGAGGAGCAGGATGAGGAGCAGGATGAGGAGCAGGATGAGGAGCAGGATGAGGAGCAGGATGAGGAGCAGGATGAGGAGCAGGATGAGGAGCAGGATGAGGAGCAGGATGAGGAGCAGGATGAGGAGCAGGATGAGGAGCAGGATGAGGAGCAGGATGAGGAGCAGGATGAGGAGCAGGATGAGGAGCAGGATGAGGAGCAGGATGAGGAGCAGGATGAGGAGCAGGATGAGGAGCAGGATGAGGAGCAGGATGAGGAGCAGGATGAGGAGCAGGATGAGGAGCAGGATGAGGAGCAGGATGAGGAGCAGGATGAGGAGCAGGATGAGGAGCAGGATGAGGAGCAGGATGAGGAGCAGGATGAGGAGCAGGATGAGGAGCAGGATGAGGAGCAGGATGAGGAGCAGGATGAGGAGCAGGATGAGGAGCAGGATGAGGAGCAGGATGAGGAGCAGGATGAGGAGCAGGATGAGGAGCAGGATGAGGAGCAGGATGAGGAGCAGGATGAGGAGCAGGATGAGGAGCAGGATGAGGAGCAGGATGAGGAGCAGGATGAGGAGCAGGATGAGGAGCAGGATGAGGAGCAGGATGAGGAGCAGGATGAGGAGCAGGATGAGGAGCAGGATGAGGAGCAGGATGAGGAGCAGGATGAGGAGCAGGATGAGGAGCAGGATGAGGAGCAGGATGAGGAGCAGGATGAGGAGCAGGATGAGGAGCAGGATGAGGAGCAGGATGAGGAGCAGGATGAGGAGCAGGATGAGGAGCAGGATGAGGAGCAGGATGAGGAGCAGGATGAGGAGCAGGATGAGGAGCAGGATGAGGAGCAGGATGAGGAGCAGGATGAGGAGCAGGATGAGGAGCAGGATGAGGAGCAGGATGAGGAGCAGGATGAGGAGCAGGATGAGGAGCAGGATGAGGAGCAGGATGAGGAGCAGGATGAGGAGCAGGATGAGGAGCAGGATGAGGAGCAGGATGAGGAGCAGGATGAGGAGCAGGAGGAGGAGCAGGAGGAGGAGCAGGAGGGGGCGGGACCTGGAAGAGCAGGATGGCGAAGTCCATGTAGTTGGTGTCGGAGGAGGCGCTCCTCAGCTGCTTCGCTGCCACTCCCAACCGGTGCACTCGAAACAGCTTCAGCAGCCGGAACGCCTGTTGCGCGCGCGCGCTCGCACACACACACACACAGGAGCACACATGCATGTAGGGGGCAGTCCAGTAAACGGCAGATACGAGCTATGCGCGAATGCACATGGGCATGCAGACACATGAACAGAGCAGATGCATGGGTGCAGGCGCATGCGGGCTGTTGGCAGGCACGGGGGCAGGCATGGCAGCATGCATGTGCATGAGCGGGGGGGGGGGGGGGGGGGGGGGAGGGAGGACGCACGACGGAGATCCAGAAGCCGGCGGGGGAGTCGGAGGCGAGCGAGGTGAGGAGGTCGAAGGGCAGTGAGGAGAGCAGGTCCAAGGCGAACCACGTGCGCAGGTAGTGCCACACCACCTTGCGCTGTGGGGCACGGGGGAACGGTGGTAAGGAGGAGCGAGGGAGGGGGGAGTAGAACGGAGCTGGAGAAACGGGAGAAGGCTCCACCGGGAGGGGCAGCGAAGCGGTTCCGAGGAGAATCGTGAGCAAGAGATGGCGGGCAGCAGAGCGAGATGGCCATTCCCAGTGTGTTGCCACTGGGCTGAGATGTGATGTGGTGATACAGCAGAGAAAGAGTGGGTGACCCAGCTGCTGTGTACCTGATCCATGACGATCTGCTGTGTTCCTGATCCATGACGATCTGCTGTGTACCTGATCCATGACGATCTGCTGTGTACCTGATCCATGACGATCTGCTGCGGCTTGAGCACCTTCATGCCGTCGTCCATCACCACGTGCTTCTCCTTCGTCACGTACCTGCCAACAGCACAAGCCACGTGGCACGCGGTGACGTGGCAGCAAGGCGTAACATCACATCACACGACACATGAGCGTACGGCGATGGTGGTGCTGAGGAACACAGCAGGCGACACACGGAAGAATTCAGGAGCGTCTGGCAAGAAGGGCAAAGTTGAGACGGGAAGTGCAGCCTCCGACCCCTCTCTGACCCGGTTTTGAAGCCGAGGAAGACGTCGGCGAGGAAGATGGCGGAGAGGCACGCGTCCACGATCTGCCACGCGCCCTGCGCGCGCAGGTTGAACGCCACCTGGTAGAACACCTCCCACTGCGCGCCCCATGCACCGGGGGGGGAGAAAATGGGGGGAGCGGGAGGGGGAGGGAGGGGGGCACTGTTTCAGGAAGGAAGGAGTGGGAGAGGGATGGAGATGGAAAAGACGAGACAACGTCTTTTGTCACGCTTTGCCCACGATAACCAGTGCAGAGAAGCTGAGTGGGGCGGGCGGGGGGGGACTGACAACGTTGTAAATGATGCAGAGGGCGATGATGAGGTTGACGTCGCGGCGGAAGCGCGAGAAGGGGTGTATCACCGGGATACGCACCCGCCGCATCACGTGTAGCACCCGCCGGAACACCTGCACCTGCACGTTGAACGGCCGAGCCTGAGCCGCCTCGCGCTCGCTCGGCGGGTCGGAAGGGGCGGCGACCGCATGCGCCGCCATGGGCTGCGCGAGGTACCCCTTGAATGTGAACCCCCGCGGAATCGCCTCTTGCGCCGGCTTCCCCCGCCAGAAATCCTCCCCCCACTTGAGCTTCCCCCCCGCGCGCATGCTGCGTGCGCCATGGTGGCTTTGCCGCTTCGAGTAGGCGGGAACTAGTCGGTCGGAGCGGCGCGATCGGAGATCGTCGGCGTCGTCCTCCGATCCCTCCGAATCCACCCGCAGTCTCAATTCCCGCCGTCGCCGCGCGGCTTCCGCATTAGACGGCTCCGCGTCAACAGAATCACATGCTCTGTCGGTCGCGTTCGCGCCTAGGGAATCCCACTGCCGCTGTAGCTCTCGGGGCCCCTCCTTACGCAGCATCGGCGACTGCAGATTCCGTTGGTTCGGCTGCGACGATGTAGTCGACGGCCCTTGCGATCTATCGTGCGGTGCTGGCAATGTTCGCGATGGCTGGACAACTCCTGGAACGTCTGACGAGGCGGCGTTTGCACGCAACACGTCCCTCGAAGCACTCACGGAGACCGAGACGTCATCGTGACGAACGGGCTGCGTGCGCTGACCGCCTTCGAGGGGATCTCGCGTGGCGGACGACGACTCTAACGGCCGGCTGCTGTCCACCTGAACGTGGTCGTCTGCAAAAGACATGTCGTCGTCCGTCAGGCAGCGAGACAGCTTCTTGCACGGACTCGAACGGTCGGTTACTGTCATATTGTTCCGCTCGCTTGGTGCTCCGTACGAATAACCGTTGATGGCAATGTGGAGTGGGTTTCGGCAGAACTCATAACCGGAAAGTAAGGTGGACAGCACCGGCACGATTCCCAGAAAAGCTAGGCTTGTGTTGCTGTCAGGGCTCTGGTTATCAGACAAATTTTGTCTGATTGTCTGATTTTCAGACACGATTTTTTGTGTTCATATGATTTTCCAGACCAGTCATTTATGTTCGTATGATCTCTCAGATAAAGCATTTTGGTTCATCTGAAAAATAAGACTAAGGGCTTATAACTCGTCTGAGTACTCAGACAGAGAGTATGTTTCAATCTTGAAACAGACAAGTACCGAAGCCAGCTCGCAGCTGGAGTACCGTAATCGCACGCACCAAATAGCAAACCCAAATACCTTCTCGCTAGATTTGGCTCAGTCCTTAGTCAGTTTTCCGTTACAGTACAGGGCAGGTTTAGATTCCTGCTGTTGCACAGTATGTTTGAAAATCTAGGTCAGTTTTTGTCTGGAAATTCAGACAAGTGTTGATGTTTCATCTAGAAAATCAGACCACCGGAGTTTGCTCATATTTCCTTCAGACGAAAGTTTTTCTCGTACTTTCATTTCAGACGGGCCAAAAACCTAGCCAGAGCCCTGGTTGCTGTCTGTTGTTGCGAGCATGCGAGCTTGACGTTCAGTTGCTGTGCTGTCCTTGAGCCTGTGGCTGTGGAAGACCGATGCCCTTGAGCACGCCAGGGCTGCTTGCTTGGATGCGATGCGATGGCTGGAGGACAATCTCAAGAAGGTCGTCACAACACAACAGACAGAAGCGCAGAGCGGTGCCCCTTTTATCGTAAATACAAATATTGATAATGTCAGCTGGTCAAGCTTATGCACCTGCCCTTATATTAACTGTTATATTCTATAAACAGTTAAACATAACCCTCATGCATTAGCATGTCTCCTGATCCATGAATGTTTCAGAACCTCTACCAGAGTAATCCTACCAAAGGGGTCCTTATTGAGCATGCTACCAATTAGATCTAAACACTCTGGAGAAACTTTTCTCCAGCACGCCAGGCTGAAATCCACCCCTTGTGTCAACACTGCTTCCGCTACCTGTTGCTTCGTTGGGGCCCGATACGGGGACACACCGGCTATGCAGAAATACAGGAGAGCTCCAAGTCCCCAGATGTCAGCTTCAGGCCCGTATTGCCCCTTCCACACTTCAGGGGCGATGTATTGAGTGGTTCCCGCAAACTCAGTCAACGAATCTCCGTCCTCAAAGAAAGTGGCGACACCAAAGTCGCTCAGTTTGACGTGGGGCTCATCAGAATCGTCTAGGAGCAGCACATTCTTCGGCTTGATGTCGCGATGCATGATTCCATGGCGGTGGCAGTGCAACACTGCTGTCGCCAGAGCGTGGCAAACCTTGGCAGCGCTGCGTTCACTCAGCGTGCCGCGCTGCGTCACTCGGCGGAAGAGATCGCCGCCGTGGCAGAGCTCCATGACGAGGTGCACGCGCTTGCCATCCTCCACGGCGTCGTGCAGACTGATGATGCTCGGATGGCCCCTCACCTCCCACAGACACGCCACCTCCGTGCGGATGGCCTCAGCGTCCTCGTACGTCTGTCGCACATCACAGGCAAAAACAAACAGCGGTGAGGACTTACTTACGAAAGGTTGAAACGATGATAGTAATTCGTTGAACACATGGTTCGGATAACAAAATAACGAGAACCAGGGAACAACGGAGTGAGGTAAAGAACGCTGCGTGAAGGAAAGTACCGTGATCTGTTGCTTGCGGATGGTCTTGCACGCCAGCAACCGGCCAGAATCTGCCTCAACACACGGCCGAACGGCGCCGTACTCGCCCGTGCCCAGCTGCTCCTTGTGCACCAGGTACCGCAGCCCGATGTCCTCGTACCGCTGCCGCAGCACGAACCGAGACGGCCCGAACCCCACGCTGTCGGACCGCGCCAGGCTGCTGCTGCTGCTGCGACTAGTAAGTGTGCTGCCGCTGCGACTCATACTGCTGCTCCCGAAGCTACTCCCGCAGCTACTTGCGACGCTCCCTGCACCATTTATGCTGTTGGTCTTGAAACTGCCGCTGCGTCGACGGGGATCCGCGCCAACGTTGCCTCCTAGAGTCGCACGACGGCGTGTTATCGCCGCATGCCACGCCGCCGCGGCTTTCGTGGCACGGTCCCCCTCTGCTATTTCCGCCGCCGCGGCGGCCGGTTGAAAGCCTTCCGCATGTCGAGCAGAGATCAACTGTTCAGACTGGGTCGACGACTGACCGTCTGTAACCGCCGGAGCAGCTGCACTAGTACTTCTTTTGGATAAATGGCCGCTGCTTGGACATCTTTCGCTGCAACAATCTCTAACGGCGGTCTGCACCCTCTCACTCTTACTCCCATGATGGTTACTAACTCTCGGGCGGAAGATTGACGGGAAGAATATTCCTGCTGTGCAGGTTCGTTGAAAACGTCGATCGGAGTCACAGCTCACGCCGTCACTTCCGGTTCCGTGAGGCTCAACTTCGGTCCGCGAACGGCCACGCACGCTGCGGCCCAAGATGCCTCTGACCATGCTTGTAAACCCCTCAATTGCACGCTGGCGGAATACTAGAATACTACTACTACCTTGAAACGGTATGTCTGGAAAACTACGTTGTTTGAATCAACTTGAAGGACAAAATGCTCCCTTCTTGGTTGCCTAAGAGGGGAGGGGATGCGGTTGACACTTCGCAAGTCCCGCAGCAGCAAAGTTGCTGCTTGTGAGGCCGACCGACCACAGATATTTCGTCCCATGTCTCTTCCTCCTTCAGCTTTGAAGGGCCTGAGGAAAGGTGTTGCTGCACGAATGTTGCCACAGTGGCAAGCTTTGCCTGTTTCCCTGCTGCCCGTGCGACAGTGTGGAGGTGGAGTGTGATGGATCGTTTGCCTTCTCGTCGCTGCTAAAGAGTTGGTGCTCTAGTTTCCAGTCTTCTGATGTGGCGCGGAGCGACCGTGTTTCAGCAATCCGTCCAGTTGAATGAGTTAGTACATGCTTGAAACCCTTTTCAACCGTTCTATTCCTCAGCAAGAACAGTTTGAAACGCAAGGTATAACACCAAACCGTACCCGCTGACACAGCCGGAACAGAGTGAATGAGCCGTTACGGGCTTCAATGTTCAATTCAAACCCTACCAGACTCACTATTCACTGTATCAGCAAAGCATTTTCGAGACGCAAGGTAAACCACCAAACCTTCCAGCTAAGGGCGCATTCCCGGCCTCGGGTCTTCCGGTGTTTGGGTCTTCCGAAATTGTGGGATCCAATCGGAAAGTCCGCGTTTCGAGATTTGAATTTTGGGATTGGATCCCACAATTTAGGAAGACCCAAACGCCCGGAAGACCCGAGGCCGGGAATGCGCCCTAACCCAGCACATCGATTCACACACCAGCTCACTGGACGCGCACACAATGAATCGTAGCCCTGGATATCGTCGTGAACCTGGGCCACAAACCAGATTGTCACGCATCCACATCATCAGCAACGGCCTTTGATGTGGAGCTGGTCAATGATGGTGTTGTGGCAGCAGCGGTGTAGCTCATGCTACTCACATTGCAGTTCAAAGAGAATCTTATAAGGGGCTATTCCCAGCAAGATTTTCGGGGTCACCGTCCGTAGGCTGGGCTGTCAGATTCCAGGGAAAAAGGCCTCGATGCCCATTTAAGGGGAGAGTTGCTGGCTGCTGATGATTTTGATGGGTATACTCTGACCTGTTATTATTTTTTTAGGGCATGGATGGGTTTGCCGTGACATATGTCACGCCCGTGGGTTCATTCGGGGGGCGCTGGTTAGAAGGATGACGATGGAAGAGGGGTAGGGAAGGGCTGCATGGTGCACAACTGCTTTTGTTGCTTGTGGCCCATTCCCGGGGTCACATTATGGCAAATAATGTCTCTACTCTACATCCAAGAACAAAAAAAAAAAATACAAGACGGTCAACCTAATTTCATACAAAACTGATGGCGCATACCATTTTTCACGACCTAGTCACCGGTTACTGAACCCCTTCAAACATTTTATAAATGGACAACTAACACCATTTAAATCAAATCCAAGAATTTGGGGCTCTACATGATGCTCTCACAAACAGTATAACAAAAGTTGCATATCAATGCCTAACACATTATTCATGGTGAATACTTTTTCACCAGTGGTATTCGTGCATGGATTTGAAAGCACAGCCATATTTTAAATTGAAAGTTCTCCCACATCGCCCTCGGTCTCATATAAATTAGGGCTAGTTACCCACATTGCTAAATTCAAAAGAGGACGTTATTGGTGACCACGTGTAGTGTACCGTGTCCCTGGAAGCAGTGCGCAAGGAAAGCATTTCGAGCCTTCTACAGTACACTGTGGTGCACTGAGTTGTGTCGCGGCTGCTGCCGCATCACGTTGTGGAGGATGCACTATTTGTCGTCTTGCTTGACATGACGCAGACTGGTGTGGACTGCCATCATCCGCAAAAATCAAATCTTAACATAAGGCCTTAGGCCTACGCTGTCGCCGCTGCAAAATGATCCGTCGTTTAATGATCAAGCAGCATGTGACACCGTTGGCCTGAGGCGTTCGGATACTCAGCCATGTCACGCGCCCACGTGGCATGCTGTACACCAGGTCAACGCTGCCTTCGCAACGTCGGGTTTGTATATTTCCCGGATTCATCACTCAAACACCCAAAATCAGGGGAAATTAACGATTGTTGTTTTATGTTGTCTCATATCGTAAGGCGTATCCGATCATGATCATACAAACCGTAATCCCCGTAAACCATATCTCATTCAACGTCATAGTGCTCACAGCTCGGTGGATGTAATCCCCGCAGGCTGCACCGGATAGGTTCAACCCCCAGATGTCGCGATCAACGGCTGATTCAAAGCCGCTGTGCGATCCTACTACTGCGACTGGTTCATGCAGCAAGGCATCAACTTGAGGACGCCAAGGCGTGAGTTGGTCGTCTGTGTGTGTTGTTCTTACACGTTTTCATTCATGTACTTGAGGTGAGTTTCCGTTGAATCTGCCCACCCCTCGACGTGGAATCTGAAAAGGCCTCCGCATCACGTATGTTGAGGTGAAGAGAATTTTTTTAGCAATTCAATAGTTCGAATGGATTACTACAGTCTGTAGCGTGTGTCTTTTCGCGAGTGCAATAGATAGGTAGTGCGAATAGTCTCCTTCCTCATGACACTACATTCGAAGTGTCCAAAGCTAACAAGTATGTTACTGAACATGTATATAACTGTATATATCTTGAATTTCTTACTTCCGATGTAATCATCCTCCTAAGTCTCTAAAACAATTCTATGGCTTTATTCAGCCCAACAACGTAATGTTGCAGTAGATTGCGAAGGCGCGGGAACGAGTTTCGTGCGATATAATTGTCAAGGGATTCAATACGTGCGGGATATCGACCAACATCGATGACACCGAGAATCACCTATCGTCATCGCCCGGATACAAGACAGTGTTGAATAGAAGATAGGGGGTGTTAATTAAACATGTGTTTCTTACAAATGGGTGTTCCTGATTATAAGACACATGTATGTGTGTACGGTATGAGACCGTGTCTCGTAAACAAAATAAGGGTTTCGGGTTTACTTATAAGAGGGGGTGTCTTCTGAACGATCCCTAGTTCATTAACGGAGGTACCTGCATACATTCATGAATTGCTACTTCTACCTAGCCCCCCTCCGTCACGGCCTGCCCATTTGCAGTAGCAGATGCAGGCTCCCTAACCCCCAAATCTGGCACTCGCGAGACATGCCTGGCCGTCTGCCTGGACTCGAATATGCGGTCAGCCTCGCCCACCGCTCCGCGGTAGTTGGGGGTCTGCTGGTATAGCACCTCCAACCCGGTTGCCACGCCGACCTCCCTAACGCCCTCCGCCTGCATCTCCTCCTCCTCCTCCTCCTCCTCCTCCTCCTCCTCCTCCTCCTCCTCCTCCTCCTCCTCCTCCTTTTCCTCCTCTTCCTCCTCCTCCTCCTCCTCCTCCTCCTCCTCCTCCTCCTCCTCCTCCTTCTCCTCCTCTTCCTCTTGAACCTGCCCAAGCAGGTTCCCCGGAGGCACATGTCCTCGAAGACATCAGTGGTGCTCCTAGCACGCATGCAAGACATCACCATGTGGCTCTTCGTCCCGTCCAGCTTGCTTGAAATCCCACTGTGGCGGAACATGTCAATGATGACCTACGTGGGGACTTGATCGCACGCCTCCGCAATCCAATGCAGCACCACGGGGTGCGGAGGCCTCCGCAGGTTCCCTGCGGGTGGGTCAGAGGCAAGGGCAGCGTGCTGTTAGAGACATGAAAGGGTAACATGGCTGAATGTTTTTATTAAGTTTACTCACAGTTCTTCGTCTTTAGGTGAATGCCTTTACGCATGAACCACCTGGCGTAGCGTGCTCGCACCGCGGCCTTGAAGCACCAGTTGATGGAGACGTCCAGGTGTTGAATCTGGATCGTGCAACCAGCTGGGATTAATGCAGGGGTGATGTTGTGCGTCCGGTACGCTTGGAGCATGCCCTGTTCGTTTTGCTTACCTGCCGGAATGTCACACTTCAGCACGTTCTTCAACTTGAACCAAACCCACGCGCGCAGCTTCTCCCTAGATGATGTGCACGCGAGCATCACTGCCAGTCGCGTCTTCTCGTATCCTTACGTGCGGATCGGTACCGAGCGCGCGCCATGGTGATCAATCGTCCTCTCGGCCGGCATCTCAACGAAGAGAGGCGTCTGGTCCGCGTTGATGATGCGGGCCAGGTCGATGTTGTGCCGCACCCTATTGATGCGCATGAACTTCCAAAACGCCTCGCAGTCTCTAGCACATTCTGCCAAGGAAAAACACCGCACAGACGGAGGGAATGGTAGAAACGTGTGAGATGCTTAGAGTGCTAAGCACATACAGTCGATAATCCAGTGCGTATTTATTCAAAAAACCATTCACCAGCCGACAACCGTTGGCCAACCTTGGTCTTCTTACGCACGACCAAGTTCCAGCGGTCGCGGAAACGTCGGCTCTGGTGTGAGCTCGTGTTCCAGTTCTTCCCGGGGTGGTGTTTCTTCATCCACTCACCGCTCTACTTCTGAGTGCCTTTCACCGAGATCGCCACACCATTCGCACGTTGCAGACATATGTAGTGGTTCAACACCGCCTCCATGTCGGGGTAGTGTGAGTACGGCTCGCCCCGTGCATATGCTTGCGGCAGTTCGCCGCTCCCTTGTAAATGTTCGCTGCAGCCTCCGCGCTTTAGCGTCTGATGCAGGCGATGGAGGCGGTGGATTCAGCGGAGGTCTTCTTGAGGGAGCCGAGCTCATGGTAGCGGCGCGCCCACTTGAGTCTCTCGTGCACGCTCCATGAGCGTCTGGTCCTCTTAATACCGCGACTGCGAGGGGAAGGGGGACAGGAGTTAGGATTACGGAGGGTGGGGTCTTTCGGCTTAGTTTTTTCAGGGAATGAAGGAATGGGGCCTACAGCCTCCGCGTAGTCATCGTCGCTGCCGAGCGCCTCGTTGACCACAATGTCGTCCTTATTTTTCTTCTTCTTCGCAGCACTCTTGCTGGAACCCGGGTCACCATCATTCTTCCGCTTTTTGTCGCTTGTGCGGCGACGAACGACGGCCTTAGCAGGGACCTCCACAACCTTGTCCTTCGCCTTGTCTGCAGCAGTGAGGCGCGGTCGACGCTCCTCTGGCAGACTGTCGTCGTCGGAGAGCACCACACGGGTACGCTTAGCGGAGCTTTGTAGGCGATGATGGAGCTTCTTCTTCAACAGAGGAACCTCGTCGTCGGTACAGCGCCACGAGTTGTCGTCGTCTTCTTCACCGTCGAAGAAGACTATCTTTCGGCCAGCATCAGCACCTCCCTTTGCTGCATCCACATCCGCCGCCGCCGCATCCTCATCCGCATCCGCTTCTGCATCCGCTTCCGCTTCCGCTTCATCGTCTGCATCCGCATCCTCATCTACCATCGCTCTCGCATGCACATCATCCGCCGTTGCTGCTGCAGGGGCTTGCACCGTTGCATGCGCCGCCGCATCAGCCTCCTCACAATCTGCATCCGCGCCACTCTTCTACTTCGTCGTCGGAGCTAACCGGCCTATTCCACCATTTGTCGTCGTCGATGTCGCCATGACGTATTTCCTCCCCCGATGCGTTGTCGTCATGGCCGCTCTCCGACCAATCGTTCTTGCCGTCGTCCTCGTCACAATTCGCACCTGAGGCAGTGGTAGAGCATCCCGCCTTGGATGCCGTCTGGTGCGTATCTTTGGCCATAACTACACAGATGTCGTCACCGGGCGAGTTGATGCGCCCGTAGTTGTTCACCTGCACGTGAGGGCGAGGGGACGCCGTGCCTAAGGGCGTGTTCCTACGGCCCCTTATCAGGCGAACCTCTTGTCAGATTCGCGTCGCAACGCATTGGAACACATGTAATAACATTCGATCGCACTGAAACGCATGGAACCGCACAAGTATGACAAGAGGTCGGCTGATAAGGGGCCGTAGGAACACGCCCTAAGGGGACTTTGCTGCGCATGGTTCAGCCAACAGAGAGCAAAGGTTGAGATTAACTCAATCTCCATGAGCATAAAATGAAGCTCAAGCCCGACTACCCCCCAAGCCAGAGTACCCTTGCCTGAGGCTGCCGTGCTGCTCCTCTACGAGGAATCTCCTCGTATAGGACAGCACATGGCAGCCCTAACGCTGCCATTGTGCTGCCAGCAGCGTTCTGGAAGCTGGCAACACCATTAGATGCTGCCAGCACGGAGAGATGTTGCCAGCACAGGCAGCTTTGCTGCATCCCTGACGTGGCATGTGGGTGGCGAGGCATGCATCACCACCAAGGTTGGCCGAATTCAATGAATCTGGCCCTTGGGTGGTTACTACACACTTAGCAAATGTTACGGAGTTTTTTTTTTTTTTTTTTTTTTTTTCCATTTACCTATAAGGCTTGACAGACACCCTAAACCGTCCCAAACAACCCAAGCATTTTTCCTAGTGTTTAAGATAAGACATATATGTCTGATATTCTGGCGACGACGGTAGTTATGTCTCACATGCGCTTGTGGAGCACAACCGACGTGCCAAAAGACATGTCTCTCCAGAAGAGCACAGGGCGCCAACACGCGCCTACTTGGGAAGGCTCCGAGGGAGGACGGGGAGGAGGAGGAGCCGCTGTAGGAAGACGTGGTTCCCAAATAACCAGGACACCAACTTATAATCATATATCCTTCAATTCGACACGATCTTCTACACGGGCGATGATTGTCGTTCTCTTAAGACCCTAGGCCAGCTCATCTGGGTGATTACTGTAGAGTGGGGAGATTATAGTCTTAGCTTGTTTAAGATACGGTAGACAACCTCTTTTCAGCCCTTTTGAGTATATGGAAGCTAAGGTACATGGCAGAGATGGCCTGTCTCAAGCCACCCAAAATCAACCCACTACTACAGAGCCCCACTCTCCTGCTTCGCTGCCCCATTCTGCCCCATCAACCCCCCATTCCCATTCCCATCCCTCCCGGCATCCCCAATGCGCTCATGCCACTCATCATCCTCCAGCAAGTGCTCGTGCACCACCTCCAAATCCACCTTCGCCGCTGCCTCCTCCTTCTCTTTCTCCTCCTCCTGGCTCACGGGCGGCACAAACACGCACGTGCTGCAGTCGTCTGAGTCCCTTAGCTCCAGCAGCAGCGGCACCACCGAGGGGTCCGCCAGCGTGCTCAGGTCCCCCAGCTCGTCCTCCTGCCTGGCCGCAATCTTGCGCAGCACGCGCCGCATGATCTTGCCGCTGCGCGTCTTGGGCAGGTGCGGCGCCCAGTGGATGTGGTCGGGGGCGGCAAAGGCGCCGATTGTAGAGCGCACGGAGCGCACGAGGTCGAGACGGAGGTCGTCTGCGTACTCCACACCGGAGACCAGCGTCACGTACGCGTATATGCCCTGCCCCTTTATCTGCCATGGGTGGCGCACCGGGACGGTAGAAGGGCACAGGGTCAGGCAGGGACGAGAGCATGAGGGCAGGATGGGGGGGGGGGAGATTGGGATGGAAGAAGAGCATTGGGACGGACGGGTGGGTCAGTGAGTGGGGATGCGAGAGGGGAGCGCAGAGAGGGGCGAGGCAAGGCCAGCGTGAGAAGCAAGCATGCCTCCCAGTGAGCAGCAGTGAGGTGAGCGCACCTCGTGGTCGAAGCCGACAACAGCAGCCTCGGCGCAGGCGGGGTGGGCGACGAGGGCTGACTCCACCTCAGCTGTGCCGATGCGGTGCCCACTGACGTTGATCACATCGTCCACCCGCCCCGTCACCCAGTAGTACCCATCCGCATCCCTGGGAGAAGGCGGGGGAGGGGTAGAAGGAGGAGAAATGGGAAGAGAATGGTGGGATTGGTTGCTTTTAGTGCTGCCTTCACGGGCTGGTTTGCCTGCCAAGTGTGCTTTATTTTGGAGGGGAATGTGATACCGTGCCATTCACTCGGATGCAGCTCACTTCCTCCACTGCTTCGCCCTCTCCTCACATCCAGCACAAATCCACTCTCCACACCTTCTGCAGCCATCGCCTGAGAAGTAGAAGCCTTTGAAGGGCGCAAAGTAGTTGGTCTCGTAGCGGTCGTGGTCGTGCAGCAGCGTGCGGAACATGCCCGGCCACGACGCCCTCACACACAGGTACCCCTCCCCCTCCCCCTGCACCTCCTCCCCCCGCTCGTCCACCATCGCCGCCTGCACTCCGAAGAAAGGGAACGACGCCGCCCCCGGGCGCTGCGGCCACGCTCCTGGCAGGGGGAGAATCTGGTTGGGGGAGGGAGAGGGGTGGCGGAAGGAGGGAGGGGGGTGGGATGACAATTATTGGAGAGTGGAGAGTGTGGAAGGGAGAGCCAGAATGGCAAGGTAGAAATGTTTGGGAGGCGTTGAGAAACATAACAATCGGTGTTGACTAGCAGTGGGGCACGGGCACGCACCATGAAGCCACCGGTCTCAGTCTGCCACCACGTGTCGCTGATGGGACACCTGTCCTCGCCCACCACTGAGCTGTACCACCTGCAGGCGGAAAGGGGGTGAGGGGGGAGGGGAGGAGGTGGGGAGGAGAGTGAGAGGAAGTAGAGTGACGGGGTGTAGGAATAGGTGCGTGTGTTGAGGTGTGAGGCACATGACAGGCATAGTCCAGTCCAGTGTTGGGTGCATGGCTGTG